TCCCCTCTCTAAAAACAGGCCATCTCCGAAAACAGCCTCCTCTCCAAAAACAGTCTCTTCCAAAAATAGGACCCACAAATGGTCCTCCCAAAAACCTAGAACCGATGAAGACTGGTGAGAGTGTAGAGAGGATAACCTACATCCCGACGTAGTGAAATACCCTTCAAAATCCCTGCGTGGCGAAAGTGAAACAGGTACCTCGGGCTTGGCTCCTTGTTCCTTACCACCATTGCAAAGATTTCCTTTTGAATAAAGCATATCAAATATTCGGACGTATATGTAGACTTCGGCCCCTCGAGAGGTGCTACACCGCAACGTGGAAGCAGAAATACATAATGTGATATAAACGATAGTCATTGTAATCTCCTATTCAATTTTGTCAATACTGTAGGAACAAAAGATATCATAATATATTAATGCCTGATTGAAGTTGTAACTGAGTACAATGGATTTTTCATGATTCTCAGACAATTTCCATAGCAGATGAGGATACTTCTGGAAGACCAGGTATTAAACCCTTACAGCATGATAAAAGGAAAGGGTTGTCAAGACACGAATGCTCCAGCCACAGCACCGTCAATGGTCTTTGACGTTGTTCTACCAGCTTCTATGATTAATCCACATGATTCGCCACCGTCTCCCAGTCAGGATTTTGGTGTTACATGCGTCCTCGCAATTAGGTCACACGATCACTACTGACCATTGGAATAAGGTTCTGACTGGTAATGTCGATCATTCCATTTCTAATCAATCATTACTCATTATCTTTCTAATTGAAAATTACTCATCGCCTGCTGCCATTCTCGTTCTGTACTTGTAAAGTATAAAGAGACCTCACCAGCAGAGGAGGTGGGTGGGGAGGAGGTTGAAGAAAGTCTCAAACATTGAAAGTCATCAACGTGACTCTGCCAGACTTATGCCCAAGACCAACAACGTTCCCAAAAACGGCAACACAGGATGGCCGATGTTCGGGAGGAAGCCAAAGAATGCGGTCCGTATAAAGACTCACCCATTGGTCCTTAACAAAAACAGAAGGTGAAATCTGCGGCGGTAAAAAAGCTGTGCGATTAGAAAGAAATGGCGAGAGAGGTAAGATTCCCCTATTAGTCAGGAGAGAAGTACTGTCATCAGAGAAAGAGATAGAGTTAGTAGTATAGCCAATGTCGAACGTCTGCAGCACGCCGCCTGACCCGGCATCCCACAGCTTGACCGTTTTGTCGTATGACCCCGACGCCAGCGTCTTGCCGTCCGGCGAGAAGGCCACGGCAACGACCGAACTCGAATGGCCCTCCAGCGTCTGCAGCACGGCGCCCGACCTGGCATCCCACAGCTTGACCATCCTGTCATCTGACCCTGACGCCAGCGTCTTGCCGTCCGGCGAGAAGGCCACGACGTTGACCCAACTCGAATGGCCCTCCAGCGTCTGCAGCACGGCGCCCGACCTGGCATCCCACAGCTTGACCATCCTGTCATCTGACCCTGACGCCAGCGTCTTGCCGTCCGGCGAGAAGGCCACGACGTTGACCCAACTCGAATGGCCCTCCAGCGTCTGCAGCACGGCGCCCGACCTGGCATCCCACAGCTTGACCATCCTGTCATCTGACCCTGACGCCAGCGTCTTGCCGTCCGGCGAGAAGGCCACGACGTTGACCCAACTCGAATGGCCCTCCAGCGTCTGCAGCACGGCGCCCGACCTGGCATCCCACAGCTTGACCATCCTGTCATCTGACCCTGACGCCAGCGTCTTGCCGTCCGGCGAGAAGGCCACGACGTTGACCCAACTCGAATGGCCCTTTAGCGTCTGCAGCACGGCGCCTGACCCGGCATCCCACAGCTTGACCGTGTTGTCGTATGACCCCGACGCCAGCGTCTTGCCGCCTGGCGAGAAGGCCACGGCAACGACCAAACTCGAATGGCCCTCCAGCGTCTGCAGCACGGCACCTGACCCGGCATCCCACAGCTTGACCGTGTAGTCCCTCGACCCCGACGCCAGCGTCTTGCCGTCCGGCGAGAAGGCCACGGCGTCGGCGGCGCCCGACCTGGCGTCCCACAGCTTGACCATCCTGTCATCTGACCCTGACGCCAGCGTCTTGCCGTCTGGCGAGAAGGCCACGGCGAAGACCGGGCCCGAATGGCCCTCCAGCGTCTGCAGCATGACATTCCAATTCTCCTCCGTCCTTGGTAACATTTCTATCCATCCAGGCATACAGTCTGCAAACTGCTTTCTAACTATACTTGTTGTAGGTACAAATATAAGGGCACTGCAGTAAGTCTGAATTGGAGCCTGCTCAATAATTGATCGATTATAGAGAACAAATCGCTTCGCGTCATAGATGAAATTCGAAAGATGAGGGCAATCGTCTGACTAACTGAGTGTTCAGCAAGAGTATATGCTGTGCTGGAGATACTTACGGTAGCAAACGACTGTAAAGCCGCAATGGCATACACTCCTTCCGACATCTTACCCATCCAGCCAAGCGCCTCAAGCCAATGAAGAAGGTGCTTCTGCAGGAAGTGATGTACTTGGTCATCGTCACAAAGCTGAGCACTGCTCTTCTGAACATGCTCAATCCAGTAGAGACAGGCGTACTGGACTTCGGGAGGAAAATTATGATCAATCCGGCTTCTATCAACCTCAGTTATAAGCTTGCCGGGAGCATTAAGCCCACAGATATCTTGCTTCAGTGATATTGACATGAGCCGTAAACAGTTGTCTGCCAATACTTGATGTGCCTGCTTCTCGTTCACCCAGAAGTTTGGGTCTTGACACCGGCTCTTGCTGAGTAGGTAGTCCCTAAACGAGGGATGGTGAAGACGAAGTGGCTGAAATCGGTTTTTCGGAATTTCTAGAACTGAGTGCATATCGTTCAGCGTCTGGTCCAGGTCTTCTTTCTTAACACCAAGCAGTTTGCATAGAGACGATGCAGAGAGCGGCGAAAGTAAAATGACGATACTGCCAAGGGCTTTTCTTAATGCACAATATACCTCTTCTTTCTCCTCCTTTGTGAATTCCAAAATGATGGATTGTTTCAGCACAGTCGTGTAGATCTCATCTAGATGCTTCTCCGGTGCTATCAAAGCGCTGTTGATGCCTGAAAGGATCGTATCAAGTCTTCTGACTGCAAATCGTTTCCCTTCATGAATAAATCGGCAAGCGGTTGCGGCCCAAATAAATAGTCCTCCAGCAGTTTGAATCAGACGCTTAGTGATCTCTTCGCCCGGCCAACAAGCATCCAGAGATTGTTCTTGTCCAATGAGCTTAAGATTGTATTCAAAGAAGATGGAAAGATCATGGTCGACGATCGATGGTGATATGTCGTGAAGGAGATAGTCTCGATGCTCTGCGTCTGATATCTGGCGAAATCCATTTCGAATGGGAATCTCCGATCGGCTCGTCAGGAAGATTCGTAATCGAGTCATCTTCAACGATCGAGCTTCAGCTAGGAGGTGTATGATGATACGGATGTTGTTCTCATTGTCGCATTCATCAAGAGCGTCAACAACAAGAACATATGCGGACTTGTCGCTATGTTCGTCCAGCTTCAATAGCGGACATAGGACGAGCCATTGCCACTGATCGCGGAGAGACTGGCTTGCAATATCATTACGCTCTGCAACAGCGTTACGGATATACTGACGAGATGCAGGTACATTCTGTGCGACCTGCATAGCAATGCTGGTGATAAAAAGGCCCGCATGACTGACGTCACCGCCGCCTTTCGAGAAGAAAAAGCTGGCTGCAAGACGCTGCTGCTCATAGTACCTACGGGCAACCGTGCGCGCGATCGTCGACTTGCCCGTGCCAGCCATGCCGTTCAGCCAGAAAATGCACCGCTCGTCTTTTCCATCTACCCAAGCGTATATATCGTTTAAAAGGTTGACACGCGTGTTAGTTAAGCAGGCGGGTTCGTGTTGTCTCGTAAATGAGTTGAAGGGCGCTTCGATAGCATACGGTAAGCGATCTAGAGGATTGTCTGTTTTCACTGTTTAGCAAGTAGCCCTATATTGTCATAGCCCGTCGACTAGGTAAGCTTAAATGTGATTCTTACCACCACGGATTTCTCTTTGTAGCCTACGGAAAGCCTTCTCTTCGCCCTCTCCGTATATGAGTGGCATGCTGACGTCAAAAAGACCTAACAGAGAATAAGCCTTATCTTCGCCGCGCTTCGTCTGACGCATTTTCGCCCATGACATTCGTTCGTCAATATCAAATTTAGCTAGAGGAGCGCCTTGAAGAGCCAGAACCGGGATCCTAGTAATCTCGTGGATTTGCTGTTCTAAAGATCTCTTGTCACCAAGTCGAGTACCCTTTGAGCAAAAGAACTCGACTGAAGGCGGAGCGAGCAGCTCTTGGAGCGTCCAACCCCGGGTAAACCACCGGCTGTTGCGAAAGGCGGACTCCCATTGTTGCAAAGACGGACTGAGGTGGTTATCGTCGATAATCGAAACGTCTGAGAGGTATGTATAGCATTTCGTCGCTCTGTTGTACCAACGATACATCGAAGTGATGGCTTCTGAAAGCTCGGTGTTGTTCTCTTTGTTGATGCAGCATGTATCCACCCAAAAGTATTGTAGGCCATCGCGTGCAGCCTGCTTTGCACAAAAGCGAAGCTTCTTGTATCCAGCTTTTGTCCTCCTCAGGCCTCTAGTCAGGTCTATAAAGCTGACTTCTTCATAGTCTTCTCCCCATGTATGTGAAAGGATAGCGTAAGGTGGAATATTGTGGATCAGGTCGTCGGTCAGGCTGAACTTGCCGTTCTCATCAACCTGCAAAAGACGCATCGTTCAACACAGGCATCATGAGACTCATCTGCACAGAGCAAATCAGGCAGTAGACACTCCAAAAAAGTTAACCAAGGTAAAGAGATACGGTAGTGTGGCCTAAATGCGAGAACGCATGCGGACATGAGACCTGCTGCGAGAAGGAAGTAAATCACGTGGACTTTGTCAGGATTTAACATTGCTGCCGACTTTCATGCCAAGCTGTAAGAGGTATTAAACCTGGTCTTCTAGAAGTACCCTGCTATGCTATGGAATTTCTTTAAAAGTTCCCGAATAAGTTTTAGCAGTCAATTGAGTCTTGAAGTAGAAACTATTCTAGGTCAATATGTCATATTTGTACATTATCGACAAAATCGATTGGAGATTGAGGACATTGACAGCAAGAAAAGTCCCTTGGTCCATATTTGACTAAGATCTATCACATTAATATCAGCGCGTATTCCTCCATCTTCGGCTTATCTCTGGGCAGCCAGATTCGACAGCCAGATTCGACAGCCAGATTCGACAGCCAGATTCGACAGCCAGATTCGACAGCCAGATTCGACAGCCAGATTCGACAGCCAGATTCGACAGCCAGATTCGACAGCCAGATTCGACAGCCAGATTCGACAGCCAGATTCGACAGCCAGATTCGACAGCCAGATTCGACAGCCAGATTCGACAGCCAGATTCGACAGCCAGATTCGACAGCCAGATTCGACAGCCAGATTCGACAGCCAGATTCGACAGCCAGATTCGACAGCCAGATTCGACAGCCAGATTCGACAGCCAGATTCGACAGCCAGATTCGACAGCCAGATTCGACAGCCAGATTCGACAGCCAGATTCGACAGCCAGATTCGACAGCCAGATTCTGACATGCCAGATTCGACAGCCAGATTCGACAGCCAGATTCGACAGCCAGATTCGACAGCCAGATTCGACAGCCAGATTCGACAGCCAGATTCGATAGCCAGATTCGATTTCTGCAGATTCGGCAAGTCGGCGTTTCGGCACGCCGAGCGGCCTAAATGTGACCGCACCATAGTAATTTGTGTGTAGTGTTCCTGATGATTTTCTATCACTGTCATTTGTGTGATTTGATACCACTGTTGCTTCCCAGATAGATATTGATATAGAGATCTTGATCTTGAGTTTCTGCAATGGCTCTGCCCTGTTACAAACGAATGCACAGTCAAAACGGGCTAAAGGACGTACTTTGGACTACAAGACTATGTATAAGGATAATCAGAAACAGTTAAAATGAGACAAATAAGCCCAAACATAAATACAACATCATAATAATGGATCAGGAGTCCTAATTAGTTAATAAGTCCTATAGCGACTTTATTTAAACTGTACTTTGAAAGATATTTCATACAAGGGGATTGAGTGATAAACTTCCCACCCAATTTTGGTGGGGCATATATTGCCAAGCCTCGAAACGCCGACTTGCCGAATCTGCAGAAATCGAATCTGGCTGTCGAATCTGGCTGCCCAGAGACAAGCCGTCCATCTTTATTACAGTGTAGCCTTTCTCAAGGTTCCAGACTCTACATCTATATCCGCACATTCGATTCACACTATGCAAAAGAGAACCGTCATATTTGATGATAAAGAATAAAGAGTTAAGCCCGAGGTACCTGCTTCCTTTTCACCACCTAGGGAGTTTGGAGGGTTATTCACTACTTAGGGATGTGGGTTACAGTTTAATTTCACGTGATTACGAAGTCCCCAGGGGTATCCTCCCTGGGGATTTCCAATCACGTGCTGATTCATCCCTTTCCCGGGACAGGGAGTAACATCCCTTGGACTAATTAAACTGTGATGTGTCGTAATTGTGGAAGAAATATGATTTCATTACACGATGCGGCTGTCCTTTTTAGGTCGGATTTTGCTATAAAGAAACATTCAGCGTTAATGCAGAATTGGAAGGGGCTACCTGGCATAGTCTTCGACTGATGGCTACGCGTGATTGGACTTATCCCTCAGATTGAGACTACTAGAACCTGGACAGGTGGGCCTCAGGTTGGTGATCTGGTAGGCCCGATTTGTGAGATGCGGTCTCGCTGTGACCGTCGGATAAGTACTTGCTGCGTTGGTGATGCGAGGAACATTCCGACTTCGCAATCAGCACGACTGCAGAGGATCAAGGTTGAAGTGTCAATGGTGGAAGCCATCTTTTCAAGAACTTCGAGCAATGACCTTGTTCTCCTCCTGATGGTCAGCTCTACCCGCATTGAGACCTTACGCCAATATGAACTTGTCTGTCAATCATGGTGACCCGCTAATATAAAGCAGTTTCGAGTCTTCGTGCTTGAGGAAATCTGAACTTACTGGTAACATTCAGGTTCACTCTCGGCACTTCGAATCACCTAACGAGGCAGTGAACGTCGAGGCAGTCAGATACACTCCCTATTGGCCATGGAGTAGCAAAGCTAAAAGTGGTAGTGATCATAAGAAGCAACTGGCTCTCACACGCACTCCCGTAAGATGGCCGAGCAGCGTCCTCCATGTGACCGTTCCTGAAGCCCAAGTACTCCGAATCAGGACTTCATCCCAGCCTGATTGTCTCCTAGCGCTGTGTCTTGAGCTGGCTTTACCTCTCCCACTGACGAGACGCGCGATGCTTATTACCAATTAGGAACAAGAAACATCGTAGCCGAGCATTGCCACCGAGACACGGCACAGGGAAGGATGAGACCAAGAAGACCATGCGACGGCCTGCAGTAGCGTCGACAGGGTCGAGCGACGCCTATAAAGCTGAGGTCCTGCCCACCTTCCCTCCTTCTTCCTTTTTCTCCTCAGACACTCGCTCACCCTCGTCCACAATGGCCATTACTCGTCGCCAGAATATCGCTCAGCACTCGCGTCGTCTCCGTTCTCGAGCTGTTTTCCTTGCACAGCCTGCAGAACGGGCTGCTCAACAACCTCATCAGAAATACAGACAACGTGCTGGTCGCTTATATTTGCCAGCACACCCAGCTCACGTGGACCACGGAGTCAATCGAATCCGGGCTCCGATGATAGATCCGCCAAGAGGATCCAGTCTTGACGGCAACGGCCTTCCGACTGGGTGCGCAGAACGCACAAGGACTGGGGCTGAAGGTGAGTAAAAGTTGCCTGGCCGAGATTTGGTACAGGAGTTGCGCTAACAAAGGGTGGCCGAAGAAGCTTCTCCTGATTTGAGCAATGGGAAAGGGGGTCCAAGTCTCCAGAACGGTTACACCTCTTCTCATCCACTCTCGCCCCAGCCAGACTTAGCACATGCTGGGGCATTGGAGATGGCCGGCGCGGAGACTGGTAGTCTCGGCGACGCCATTCCCCACGAGACTACCTCACAGCTCACGATCACTCCAAACATCGAGACGGTTGTTCAGAACCTCGACTATGTTGGTGTTCCACAAGATGGCAAGTGGGAACACGTCGCTGCGCACGAATCCAGATTCTGCTTCCATCATGCGGAAGAGGAATGGCTCCTTCAGACTGTTGATAGATGGATGCTTCCCAGCGACTTCAACATCATTGGAGCAGAGACGACGCTAGAGGCCAAGCTTCAGAAGTACGAATCACGCCGGCGGAATGAGAAGATACACCATGCTCCACGAGCAGATTGCGATGGCGATTTTTGGTCTCATGTCGATACGCCCATACAGAGAGGCGAATCTGACGGCAAAGTTGTCTATCTGATTCGCTGGAAATTTTGTTGGACTCGTCACAGCGACATTGATGACATGAGCTGGGTTCGGTCCTCTTTTCAGGAGCAAAATGAGCGCATTAACCGCAGGCGCAGTGCCCGGGTCGAGGATACAGCTCCAAAGAGGATGGCCAAGATGAAGGAGATGATAGTTGTCGTCAACATCGAAGATTGGCTCTAAAGCCTTACTTGGGCGTGCTGAAGATTTTCGGTGAAGCGGTGGACCGATGGAGAGGCGCAAGACTGATTGTGGCTTGAAAGAAAGATGAGGGAGGGTGTTTAGCCAGGAGGGTAGAGGATTTCTCAATTCATTTGCTGCTATGTACATTTTAGAGCTTCCGCTCGCTTACTTTATTTGTCATCTTTTAAAATCAAATTGAAACAGACCACGTCTACAAAATTAGAAAACGTACACCATTGAGATCTAATCGCGAGCGACGCCCTGCATTTAAGAATCACGCAGGTACCATCACGCCCCTCCTGGATTCTTGGGATTGACTACATCGCCTATGATTATCCCCTTAGAATGTTTTCTGATACACGATTTGCAAGGCCATCTTGCCCAGAAATCAACACGCAGCGCTTTTCATTCTTAGCGTCGAAATACTTGTGATGGTTAGTGTCAAGTCAAAAGTGGTAACTCTTGCAGAACCTCATAGGCTACAGTGGAAGAACTATACTGTGAATGCATACATGGGATTTCTTTGCCGATAGTGTCCATCCACAATGCCCTTCCTCCATCACTCTCATTAATTCTTAATAATGTTTTGCCTTTTTCGGGACTGCGAGAGTAGGTGATGGTATCAACCGCTTTCTGGTGTTTCTAGTAAGTCCTTTGTGGGTATAGCTCCTCGATTCGCAAGAAGGACAGCGTAGAGCACGGGGAGCATCATGATTAGCGGAGCCGAAAGCCGAATCCAGCTTCTGTTTGTTGATCAAGGACGAAAGGGTGTGAGGCATACCACTAATTTTTCGTCGACAAGTATCACCCCATTGAATGGAGAGCTCGATGGGGTCCTCTCGAGACCGCTTGAGGAATTGAATAGGCCTACGATATCTATAGCACGCTGTGCATATATCGTCTGCTGAGACCCTCACGCCCAGATGGTGGATGCCGTCGTAAAAGTTCATCTCCTCCGTATGCGTTCGGAGCAACGTCTTGATCAAAGCATGGCTGCGGACTTTACAGCAGATAAAACCAGTGCAATGGTAGAAGCCAGATTCGTAATGGTGCAGAGAGTCTAGCTCGAAAAAAAAACTAGAGATCAGTAGTGCGGAAAAGACTTCTGACCGCTGCCCGGGACCGGAGGGCTGGATCTGAACGCAGTGTGCTAGATATTCCATGCAGTCAGTATCATCGATAGATGGTTCCGCGCTGGGAAATGCGATGTTCAGTCGAAAGTAATCTTGCCGGGCCCGGTCATCCAAATGGTTCCAGAGTATGTTCCAAGCATACTGGCCGTCGAATGCCGACCCAAATCCACGCTTCACTCGCGGTGCCCAGCCGTCCTTCCAGATGCTGCGTACGCCAGTCGCCTTGGGTGACCCGACGTCCCGTGTCCCGGTTCCAAGAGAGAGCACGACATCCAGCTTTGCGGAGGGCCAGATACATCTGCTTTCCCATATTGCCAGATTGACGGGGTTGTTGTGTTTGCACCCTCCAGCCATTGCACCGTCTTGAAAGGTTCCTACAAACGGTATCCGCATTGGTTGAAGGAGACTACTTGATTAGTAGATCAACAGTAACCAATAGCATGTAACATACACCGGTGCAGCTGTAGTGGCACGTGCACTGATTTTGAGTCAGCAAAATTGTTAGTGGTGAAGCTTCATGTTCGACTTACGCTTCCCAAACCAGAGGCTCATGCTCCACGTCGGATGGTCGGATAAGACGGTACCCTAGCAACGGTCAGCTGCTTACAAACCACGTATCAAGGTCTCAGACTTCACCGCAATCACTCCTGCGATGGCCCTCGCCATTATAGTTTGAGAAGACAAAGGCAGATGCTTCGTTGATATTACTAGCTGTCACAGCCACCTTCGAACCTGAAGGCCGAAGCGGAGCATGACCAAAAAACCGTGTGTGTGGTCCAAATGTTTCCTGTAGAGATGCTTCTAAAGCTTTCGAATCGTACACTCCATCAAAAAACCAACATTTTACTATCCTTTTGATGTTAGCTGTCAGAGTTTGCTCAGAACGATGGTCTCGACCAAACAGCCGTTTTGTCAGCCACCGGAACTTGTCGATACATGTCGCTATATCCCAGACGGACAGACCAAGTACAATGAGACCACCTATCACCGTGAGCCAAGAAATTTTGGGAATGTTGAGTGGCTTACCAGCGCTGGTCCCGAACTTGAGGTCGAAGAATTCCTGGATGGGTAAATCGGGACCTGCCATCTTCTGGAGCGAGGATAGCACTTCCAACGGAATGATACCACGTGAGCCACCTCCATCCACACATAAAATACTGACTCCGGTGGTTGGTCCCTTTAGGTCGACAACCATGCCGCATTGACTGGAGCAAATCGGGCAAGCATCTAAAACATATCGATACTCGAAACCCACCATACCTTCCGCGAATCTATAGACACACACGTCGCATATGGCATGTGCACAGGCCAACACGTGCTCGGGCTTCCTCTGCAGGCAAGTGAGACATGTACGATTGGACCTCAAGTTTTCAAAATGCTTTTTACATTGCTGGAGGTTCGAGCGGTGAATGTCAATCGATGTAGTCGGTTGGGAAGTGTAAGTAGAGAAAGCCTTTGTCAGGTGATTTTCAACGGCCTGACAAAGGTACTCCGGAAATGAATCTGACGGAAATATCTTCTGAGCCGCTTGAAGGCAGTGTGCCCGATAGAGAGAATGATACACAATTTGGGGGTTAAACACTGACATGCGGTTAGCAAATAGAAGGAGCGAAGGGCCTCACTTACGATGCATCTTTGGTGGGTAAGCATCCACTAGGATGGCTGAGGCTACGTAGTGAGCAATGCTATCGTAAGGCAGTTTCAGTTTGGTCGTAAGAGAGAAAAAGCGCTCAAGATGGGTAGAGTAGTCTGCCTGGACTTCATTCTCCTTTCTTGTGGAGTGAATGATATCGAAAGGCTCTTGTATCGTTTGGGCAACGTGACTTAATGCATTCTGAAATAAGGCAGCCTGGTGGACGGCAGAGAATAACGTGGTATTGAGTGCTTTGACGCGACGAGATTCGTCCAGCGCCTTGCAAACTGCATCTTTCAGTCCACGGTACCTTACCATTGGTGACGAGTGTTCACCCGCCAGCTGAATGACCTTGATCGCGGCGAAACTTTGGGTCAGGTCAACCTTCTCAGTCTGAACGACATGATAACGGAAGTCGTCCCACTCCAGCATGGAATGCGTGATACTTGCACTGCTATCCCCGTCCGTAATAACGAGGACTTGAGGTCGAACAAGATCGGGAAGAGTGGACGGGCGACCAAACCTCGCCCACTTGATGAGGAGATTTCCTGCGGCATCCAAACCGCCCACATCTTCAGCAAAGATGCAGATGACGTCAGTGAAGGGAAAAAGAAGCCGGGCTATCAGCACGTCCAGTAAATCCACTTGGTGTGAGAGAGCCCAACTTAGAGGGAGATTTGTCTGTTCATGGCATGGTGCTTGGTGATAATCCTGCAAAGGCCATGTACACTGCAGAGGATCGCAGTCGGCAAACAAGATAGGATTGTCAGTACCAGATGATCCATTGTCGATTCTCAGATTTATAGCTGATGGTGCTGTCCGAGACCTTCTGATGTTGTTGTTCGGGAATAGGTGCTTAAGCGCAGTATCTCGGGTCTTGTTCCCTAAGAAGAATGCCAGAGTCGGACATTGTTTCGATGGACCTGACATTTCTTCACTTATTCTCTTGTATCGATCGTCATGGCTAATGGAGAATCCCGACTTGGCATTTCCAAGGATTTGAAGCCAAGAGATATGATTGCAATGTACTAACGACATCTTTTACTTTACAACATAACCCTTGACCCTCTGGGAAGTTAGGGTCTCTTTATATATGTTGATTGAGCCTACCTAGCAATAGTAAGCAGGGGTGGACGAGAAGCAAAGGTTCCTAAGGGAGAGAGGGTACTTTAAAAGGAGGAGAGATTTTAGTTATTTCGGACGGGAAGGAGAGGAGGGGCGGATGGGGGGTGGGGGGTTTTTATTCCTAGTTCAGTTCAGAAGGGGGAGTTATGGGCATTTTATGTCGATAAAAATATATCTTGATGAAGGGGGGAGGAACTGGAGAGGAAGGGTATAATTACTCAGGTCCGACTGGAAGTCTATTGCACAGCTTACCTAATGCACTTATTATTTAACAGGTCAAAGCCGAGTATTGCCTGAAGCAGCAGTGTTAGGCGTTGAATACTTGACGTCAACTGAGGTTGCTAACCCCAAAATACTGGCGGATTTCACGACAATCGTTGACAAAATGGAGGTTTTGATTAGATGCTAATATCTGCATTTATCTATGTGGATAATAAGATATCGAAACCCTCAATAAATGGTTGTTGATCTGTATAGCCCTAGTGAGGTTGCGGCGCGTTGATTCAGGTTCGATATATCAAGACCGGTCAGAACGGCTTTTGCGGGAATTGAGAGATCATTGGTGCTGGGACTGAAGTCTCCTAAAGTAGTCGACTATTTCGCTAGGATAAGGGAGGATGTGTGATCTTAAATCAGCTGGGTTCCAAAGCGCTTCTGTGGACGCTGTCGATTGGGAAATGCTGTTCGCCGTGCTGTTGCTCATACCATCTTGAGTACATGCTGTGGGAAACTCCTCGTAGCATTTACGTTTCTCGTTCCATGTGTACAAACCCAAACCTTGGGGCTGGTCGTTCGATAGAATTGATCCAGAGCTGGTGGCTCTTGGGTTTTGGGCTAGTGAGCTGGAGACCGGTGTATCTGAAGTCTCTGCTAAGCTTGATTGCATAAGGCTTTTGAACTTGATTTTAATGGCATTACAGCTGCGGTGCTGCTGGGGATTCGAGGCTGCGAAATAAACGGAAATAGTTTCCCAGTTTGCAGATCCGTGTTCCCGTTTTATCCTTAAGAGAAGTTCCGTGTCTGCACGACTCCATCGAGGAACCCTGACGCCGGCACGTGAGGCGGGTGGCATTTTAACAGAAATACAAAAGGTTGCTGTCAGTTCGCTTTGATATATATCGCCTTTTTGTACTCGGGAGAAACAAGGATGGCAGGTGAGGGGCCTCCAGGGCTTGGACTATGCTAGCAGCTAAGGAGAAGAGTGAGGGACTGCTGCGAACAGACATGTCTGCTCTCATAAATAGTGTGATCAACATCCCAACACAAGGGTAAGGACCAGACCATGGTCAACGGCAAATTCGGCCACACATAAATTGGCGCCATCCTAGCCCTGGTACAATGTAGGTGGTGTGCGTCAAAAGAGGGAAGATTTTGTCTTCTATCGCTAGATGAATACCCGTCATTTGTCTGCGAAAACCTGAGCATGAGCAGGAGCTTTGTTGAGGGGAAGAATTAGGTTGGCTTGGTCCTAACTTGGGGGAATGAACATCAAGTGGGCCCACTCCTCCAATTTTGGACCCATTCTTGACGCGGGGTGAGTCCGGGCGGCTGTTATCCAATAATTGATGACTTTTAAGTGGAGCCGGGTGTGAATCTGATCAAAGAAGTGTGAATTAACGCGCTTAGCAAGGGTCTGTTTCAGTCATGTTACTCAATAGCGCCGTGCGTCAGCCGGCTGTGCCACAGGCCGACATGCAGCTAAGGTGTCAGTGCGGTTCCCAAGTATCCATCCAATCGCGGGACATGAGTGCCACTTCAATCGTTGATGGGAGATGTCGCATGTGCGACCCTGTTGTGGTGATTGGAGCAAGCGCAAGACAATGTGAGAACTGAGACATCAAACTCGTTTCTAAGACTAGTGGACGATTGTTAGAGAAGGGGCTTTGTCAGATCTCTGGGGCTGGTTCTTATCTCGTCACATATAAGAAGCTACAGTCTGTCGTTCAGAACCTTTCACAGACCACGCTTTCCACCTCCGCCAATTATGAATACTGAACAGAAATCCAGTTGGCAAGAGCCGCTCCTGGAGACCCAAACCGGCTTCGATTTCAATGCCAATTTAGTGGCTCCGGCTATCGACCCTTCACTTCTCAACTTACAATTCTTTTCAGCCGGAACAGGCACTACGTTGCCCTGGCCGGCTGGGCAACCAATCTACACCTTCAACAACGGCTTCTATGACGGCTCCAGCCCCTATTCCGATCTTAATCTCCGCTTGACCAATTTAGAAAGTCAAACTACAACGATGGGCACGCAGATTTCATGTCTCGAAGCTAATATGCAAGCACTGTGAGTGCTCTCGCTGATTCCGGATGCTGGTTGCTCAGAGTTGACGGGTAAATAGGACAGCTCGCTTTGAGAGGTGAGTTGTGAGACCACTCATTGATGTCAGTACTGAAACTTGTTGCGAAGCCTCAAGACACTTTTCAAGAGAAACTTGGCGAATCTATACGAGTGGGCCAGAAGTCTGACGAATTACCTGAGCGATCCATCTCAGGGTTCAGACTGCATAGAACAGGAGAGACTGCTAGCACCTAAGGATGTCTCTGAGGAAGATTCTAGTCAGTAAATCTCCATAACTTTTGAGAATCTTCTCCTAACTTTCCACACTCTCTGCAGTCACGAGCTCATAGTCGAAATTTTGCCAATGCTTTTTGGTTATCCTGTCTACTTAGAATGCAATGACTGTTTTTTCACTCTATTAAATGTGTTCCTCCTAACATTTGCTGGCGAGCCTAAGGACGAGGTCGATCAAAGTTCTTTGGTGACATATTTTCAACTCTGTTCCTTCTGATATATGAATATGCCTCACTGCTTTATATTCTTTCCAACTTTCTATATAATGCGTGGTTCAAGACTATATGAGAACAAACTAGGAAAACCCGTTTACCAGGGACTGATTAGCCTTGTATTGAGAAATATGTAGATTCTTATAATCAGAGCCAGACTCGTTCATCGTACACACACGTCACTTTAGGGCGACATCAACAGTCCTATTTTATAGGGGCATCAGGGTTCTGTAAAGAGGAATCTTGGCTGGCTTCATATAGCTGTTGATCACGCACCTCCCACGACCTAATACGTCCAATTACCACCTGGCGGTCAGGTTGGCACGGGCCCCCAGGACCTGCTACCATATTTATATGTCGAATCAGTGAGGCCTCATGTTGCGTGCTTCTGGCGTATCTGGTCATGTCCCGCACAAAAGCTCCTCCTTTTCAAGGTTTAGATGCGCTTACCGTCAGCAGTCTCCATAACCACGTGACTTACGCTCTTGAGACTGTGGCCAGTCGATTCGCCGCCGCCCTTCGTCTGGTCCTGATATGAGGAAGCTTCTTGCGACACAATGTACAATTTGGCCAAATGCGATGATTGGAGCTTAAGTGGAAAAGATACATATTCTGGAAAACCCCACCATTACCTTGACAGGGTCTTAAGGTTTGAAGGCCAGGCGTCTGAAGAACAACGCAAGGAGAAAGGTTGCTATTTCTGAACAGATCTATGGACGCTGTTGCTACCAAAAGTCTGCAGAGATTGGCTCAGAAACGGCTCGAGGAGTTTCATGAACCTCTGACAGAGGGGCGGCTGTCTCAGTCATCAATGATTTCACTTGTATCAATCTTTCTGTAGGCTTTGAGGCTCGCTCGCGGGCGGCTCTATACACAACTTCTTGAATAAGACCAGATAGGCAGAATTGATCGCTGACATCAACCTCACTGGTCTCACGGAGAGCTTGAAGCACATCGTCGGATATCTTCGCCCTGTAACGCAAATCCATAGTCTCTTGAAAGACTTCTTCTAATCGGCACCTCATACGTTGTAATTCCTCCCGGGTAGCATGATGATGTTTTCGCTCTACCATGAGGGCGTCTTCCAGATCCGCTGCTGTGACGGCAACTCGTTGCAGCTGAAGATTTTGATCTCTCAACGACGCCTGTAATTTGACCATCTCTAGACGGTCTTTCTGATTGCTCTTTCCCGCCGAGAGCAGCTTATTAGACAAGTCTGTAACGTGGGCTTGCAGATGATTGAAGCGCTGATTGTGCCAGTTTGAACGAATCTCGTACGCATTTATATCCTGTTAACGTTAATTTGAAAACTGCTTATCAAATATAGCAAATCACACCTTTGCTGAAGAATCCTTAGACTGCATAGCAGGTAGGTTTTTTTCTGTAAAAGTCTTCATAGCGTTGTGTAGATGACCGAATAAGGTTTCAACTGATGAAGAAAATAAGTGAGGCTGTTAATCATGACTTATAAGGGCAAAAGGAATGTCTAACATCAGAATGTTACAAACTAAGATGGACAATTAAATGCGTACGCAGCAAGGGTGCGGGCAATATTTAAGCGACTGTCTAGACACTGTGAAATATTTGGCGGTCTCTATAATACGCAAAGGGGTGTAGGTTTAACTTTCAGAAACCCCCCCTTCTCCCCTCCGATATAGATAGCATCAACTAACTAGCATGTAGTGTGAAGCCAAGCGACGAGAAACAAACGAGTGTGTGACTTGATTAGGCGGCTACACTACAGAAGCCGCAAAGGACGGATTAATTGGTTGATAATCAGCTGGTGTCACGGCTAGGTGCAACTGAGATCCCAAAAATGTGGTTAGATTAGACGCTGCGGCACCATATTTATGTAATATTCTTTTAATAGGACATACCAAGCCTATCAATTCTTTGGCAGATAAGTGTGATCATTTGAGGCTGCCATCTGTATATTAGTCCGATCATTTGTATATAAAGGATGACAATCCTCCAGTCCTGACTTGTTCCATAAAAGTATCATATTTATCAGAAGTGAATCAGTTCAAGATCTCAACTAAGTTTGGATTTGATTTACAATGCATCTATACTACATTACATTGATCAATACTGGTTACAAGTCTGAGTACGATCTCTCTTCATGGGTGCCCTCTAAAAGTCAAGGATTCGTTGTCGACGTCCCTGAATCATCTTGTACTCTTTTGTTGTACAAGCACAATCGGTCAATAGAGCAAAATCAGATTCTAGGCTGTTGTTGGAAAGAAATAGTGAGTGTTCTTTGAATAGTATTATTAGATTGAAGGTTAATAATATATAGAGGAACATCATAAAACATTTTTCCGCAAGGACGACGTCAACCTGTTGGTGCGGCTTGTTGATAAGACACGAGCCTAGTCTGAGCCGTTTTTGGCGTTGGAAGAGACCAGAGAATAGAATGGTCAGGCCCTGGTATATGCTCTTTGGCAGAGAAATAAAAAATTGTGACTTGTGTTGTAGTGAGCGCATTGAGAATATAGTAGCGGAGAGCGTCATGTCGGAAGCGTTTCTTTGTTGGAACAACGCCTTGACCTTATAGAGGCTCTTTGATACATTTGGAAAGGTGGACAGGTCTGGAAATCTAAGTGGCGGAAATAGTGTGGTTTCAAATCGATTACAAAACATAAATGTCTCTCTTGGGGTCACTGAATAGTCTGATTCCCTTGTTGAGAAAACAGTCTTGATTCTTTTTCAATTTTGGTGTTCTTTCTGCCAAGGCTGCAGCTCTTCTGTCAAGTCTAGATTTCTGTACGCTAGATTCCGTCGCTCAGACACAATTAGCGTTACGGTGGCAGCCACGCGCTTCGCGCGGGCTAACAGTGATGATCACCCTGTAACTGAGTGGGGCCAAGGGACTCCAACCAAGTAGTACTTTTCTTCTTTGAGTTAAAAAGGGTCCTTGCATCTTTTGCAGCCTTTCTTTTTTGCAGCCTCTCCGTTCTGCGGGCTTTTCTCTCTCTTTCTTTTGTCTCTCCCTCCTACATAACACGCCTTTTTTCGGTATGGAGAGCTCGCCCCCGACGCGCAAACGAGTGGCAGAGTCTTCTCCACAGCGCCTTCGAAACAATAAGCGTCGGCTTACCATCGAAAACCTCTATCCAGTGGCAAATCGGGTATGCAAACCTGTCCTATTCCCGTGACATTATATAACTCGCTGATCATGGAAGAACCCTATGGTGAACGCGTGGATCAGGCACGTGTTTGACTTCGACTCCGACTTCGACTCCAGTCGCCAGACTTCCGTTGAGCAGGACGATAATTCAACTTCCAGCGACTCAGAACAAGAAATGTTATGTTCACAATCACCCTCTAACGAAGTAGACGATGTGCCGACCAAATGTCACGTCCCAACGATCCTAAATCAAGTGAAATCAACCCTCTACAGCCTTTCCACTACTGAGGATGTGGCGGCAACGACTATCACAACTACTGATCTCAGTTCAAAGAAATCAGCCGGAGGGCATTGCCGGATTGACGACGATAAAGTGGTTGATATTCTAACAGGTCACAATGTGCATTTGGACCGCGTGGAGGACGATGACATAACAGCGATTAAGAAGATCATTCTTGCTAAATCAAGAAAAAAGGTCAACGTAAAAGAAGAACGAAGATGGCAGAAAGACCTCGCAAAATGCGCAGTCTCTGACGAGGTTATCTTTCAGCGGACTATAATGATAGATCTGATCAGCCGTCATCAACTGCCTGACGGGCTCGACTATATCTGCGAGTCGGAATAGACCTGTCCATTTTCCATGTCCTACCGGAACGGCGAACCTGCAAAGCTGATGCCAAATCCTAAACCAGACCTGGTTTTCACTTTCGATGTAGACTTGTTTGTGACAGCAGCTCAACGAGACGCCCTCTTCAACTTAGGTTCCATCATGTGCCCTGAATCTGTTGAACCAGTCAAGCGTGATCGAGCGTTCCATTTTTTATCTATCGAAGCTAAGGGAGCTAGAGCCCAAGATGCAAACTGGATAGCACATCGGCAGAACTTCAACACAGCTACCCAGGCTTTACATAATATTTATTACTTCATGGAAATGGCTGGGACACTAGCGGCATTCTATGAAAAGGTTCGGTTCTATTCTATTGTTGCAACTGACCTCGTCTTTCATGTTCGGGTACACAGAGCTCGTGAGCTCAAAGAGCACTGGATCCAGCAAGATTATTCTCTAGAATTTCTGTATGACGTGGTATACGATCACAGAGGAGGTGGATACACGAAAGCCGAAACGACGGCAATTGTCAAAAACATCTTGATCGAATATGGGATTAAAGTACTCAAGCCACTTTTAGTGCAAACCATGAAGAAAGTCCTGGAAAAGCGCGACGAAATTTCTGTGCGGAGCGAATTGTTGGAAGACTTGATGAGAGAGAACGATAAATAGCGACCTTTATCACCAGAGGGCAGACCTATCAAAAGGTCTTACAAGAGTTGCCGATATTCCGGGATTGACTGAGACATCCAGGACCGGTTTCCGTACTCCGAGCCACCTGAGAAAGCAACATGACGTTGGTGTTTTCCACCAGCAAGGTCAGGGCGCCAGATTCGGAGCCATCGCGTCGCTTTTACTGGAGTTGGTGTGATCGCTTTGAATGCCTCTTTAAGCGTTTAGCCGTAAGGCTATAATTTATCGTGAGCTTATCCGTTGAAGTTTCAGACTCTGGAGGGTCAGTAGCTATATTGGAACCTTCATCCAGCGAGGTTCGAGACTCTTGACTAAGCGCTTCGATCATGTAGGCTTCGTCCAATGAATCTTCAGTTGTAAAGCTCGAGATCCCCCCAAAGCTTGCATCAACAGCTAGCGTCCCAACTTGACTGTCATTTACTTTCTCGTTTGCCCGCTTAATCGCTTCGTCCCTCTGCTCCTTCGTCCAGTCTCTCGCGTTTCTGTACGCAGTCGCTCCTTTTCGGAATGTTTCCGGATCGCTAGTCATAGAATATCCCTTAAGCTGAGTCATGCAATATTCAGGCCGACCTTCAGGACTGGTTGGCTGAGTAGGATGGCTGGTGTACATCTTGAGCTGGCCATCGCTATAGATTGATGTGATGGTATAAGCATTGTTATCGTGCACTGGTTCATCTTCTTCATATGACTGCAGACTGTACATGCCCCGAGCGCCCAGCGCACCGTCGTAACATGCCTGTCGTCTGGCTACTGCAGCAGTTCCATTCGGCCCTTTGGCCGCTAGAAAGAAGTTCGGCACGATAGGAAGGTCATCCTGCGTTGAAGGGATGATATGGCCGCTTAGCTCATCACGGACTCGTCGGTTGAGCTGCTCGGGGCGTGCGCCGTAGTAGAGGTCCGGTTTAGCTGCTGTCAGCATGTCGTTTGTTAGAGGTGTAAGGTTTGTGAAAAGAACGTCTCCTTCAACGCATTTACCATCTTTTATCTTGCCTTCAATGATTGGGATCACCGTTTTGGTTGCTTTATTCTCCTTAGAGACATGTGCGTCTGCTCGCTTGAATTCTTTAAACTTTTCATTGGAAAATTGTGACGGTGATAGAGAGGGTCGAGGATGTGTCAATATTCCGTTGATCTCTTCCAAATTATCTGGCTCTGGTGGGACTCGACCATCGGGGTACTCGTATTCATCAGGGTAAACGCCGCCATCAATGAGCTTTTGTTGAAAGTTACGGCTATAAGGCCCACTGCTCTCCGTTGTTCTAGTGTTTGTGGTATTTGTAGTTAGCCTGGTATCTAGAGTGGATGCTAAACTCCGTTTCCGACCCCGAGAACTGGACTGGCTCGAGCTCATTATGTGATTAAGAGGATCGACAGGTTCCGGGAACTTGAGTGCATCATCAGCTTTATCGCCCACTGATGAACATCTTGTAATACTTACACCCTTCAGATCCGACAGATCCGGACCGCCGTATCTAGCGAATTGCTTTATGTCCTTTGAAGTCCCCGGTTCACAATGGCGGAGATAGTCAGAGACAAACTGAGTCTTCTTTAGCTCAGCGAGGAAGTTTCGCGTAACAGGTCGGCGAGTTCGTCGATGCTGCGAACGAGGTTGACTTGAAGCGGGTTGATTATTCCTTCGATTCAGCTCTCTCAGCGCACCTCTAGTCAACCAGGTCCTCGATAGGTTGTCCCAAAACGCTGGTGGTTGAGATCGGGTGGTGGGATGGTTGAGCTTCTGCCTCTTCAACTGAGGTTGCGATGTTCCGTTTGGTTGAAGCGCATATTGCTCTGTATGTTGACGCTTGCGTGGGTTGGAAATTTGTGATTCGGGCATGTAGCAACCATCGACAACAGGATCGTGAAGAAGGCCAAGGGCAGGTGGAGAGCAGCGCTTATATCCTGCATCGGTTGTCATACCCCTCAATGCTGATGGTTGGAATTCAAGTTTCCGTACTGGCAGGTCTTGCCATTCGCTCTGAATTCTGGCTCCCACCGTCCGTCGTCGCGCGAAGACCGGATGAGCGGCTGGTGACTACGCAGTCAAAGAAAGCCAATTATATGTCGGAGCGTTGACGGCTGGCTGGGTTAGCTGATTAGGAGCAGCATGGGTCTCTAGCAAATGAGCCATGCGCCACACCACCATCAGAAATGAGTTGGAGCTACGTAGTAGACGCATGCCTCTGGGCCTTGGCAGCGGCAGATGAGTTTCCTTTAATCGTCCAATGGTATTCGGCCTATCGATACCTACCCGCGCAGACTGCAGGCATCACCATAGATTTGTTAAGTCACAGATTCTAGAATGAGGAGAACTAGAACGAGATCGAATAAACCTGCAGCAACAGAAAAGGCTAAGAGCTACGATGCGTTGAGCTGTCCCTATAATCAAGGGTCTTTTCTCCATAGCAGAGCTCGCCCTTGCTAACAATCATAAGATGATTCGTCACATACTCATCCCAGAGGCATATCAGAGCAATTGCCTCCCAACCCTCTCGAATAGATTTACACGCCTTCTTCATCATGTCGCTAAACACAATGCAACTCAAGCCAGACTGGATATTACAGCTGATCCCCACGTGTAGTCAGCGGAAGCTCTCCTAGAGCTAAGCTGGATTTGATATCGCACCAGTTCGATGTGTGCACAAGACTTCATCCAATCATTTGTGGATAGAACTGGAGGGATCAGGTAAGCATGCAAGATGATACAGAAAGCGATCCAGAAGGTTATAAAGTACCCGTTCCAGTCCTCAGAACAAAAGAACACGAACAATGGTGATCAAGTTTACTCTTAATCATTCTCATCTCGATCCGTCAATGTATGCTTGATTGACACGACATCTTCTCCCCGCCTCAGATGAAGTTCTGTCGGTGTGCATGCTGCACTGTGTTGGAATTTCATTTCGGTGTCGTAGGTTAGGTCTTCCACGTTGACTGCTTGGGAGTTGATATTTCCCACGTCGGTATCTTGAAGCCATTTGACTCGTACACAACAGTGACTACTGGGGTTAGAGAGCAAGTCTGGATTGGAGCCGCAACAGGTGTAAGGTGAATGAAAGGTGGGTGAAGTAAAATGTCTGCATTTTGGTTGCAGGCTCACTCTTCCGGGGTCGTTTGGGAGACTCTATACCAGCCCTGCCCAGCTCTTTCTCGTGTTTTCGCTTATGGCTAGCGCCTGATCCAAATGGAGCACTATGAGTCTTTCTAAAATGGCTCTCGAAGCTGGTGTCGTTCGTCGATTTCTTGGTGTAATTCTCAGATAGCTGGGCCGGGCGACGCTGCGGTAGGTAAGCTATGGCCAGGGCAGAGTGGTCTCGACTTACGTCCTCTCTGGTCGACTCGGTCGTCGATGGAGATGAAAGTGCTCTGTTCTGCCTTCTCTGCTTTTTCCCCTTTTGAACTGGCGATAGTTGATGGGAGTCTCTTTTCAACAGGCGCGCACTCTTTCGTAAGGGAGGGTAGGTGCTCGGTTCTTGAGTGAGATGTGCTGAAAAGGTCAGTCAAATGGCTGAAAGTTTTCATAACACATACCGCCGGCTTTTTCGGTCCCGCGCTTCCGCTTGGGCATAACGTCTTGCTGTAGATTTCGATTCAGAACAAGTGGTGGCAGACAGCTGTACATGTAGCCGCTAATGGATAGGGTGGATGCCAAGGGCGCTAACGTGGAAATCTTAGCGCAGCAGAGTCGGCTTGCGATCAAGTTAGCCCAACAATCGTGACTCATTGCCTGCCGAAGCTACCTACCATTGGTCAATTGTGTTTCGTTTTGGCAGTTGGTTGTTGAAGACTGCTCAAAGGAATTTGAACCAATTGAGGCTTGGCAATATCCCGCACGTGATCAATCTTAAGTTATCATGATATATTCGTCTTAGTAATAGAATTCTTCGTGAAGCTTGGAATAGGGTAATGAACACACTTCCCACACCCTGGATTTTGAGTACCAATCACCTGCCCATCAGAAGCATGAAACAATCATAACAGAGCTCCCAGAATCTCAAATTCTTGACAGATATTCTGGCTGACCTGATCAATTCTTGAAAAGTTTGAGCGTAGACCAACGACTAAGACATTTTCAGTTCCCGTATCAAGACCTTTGCAGCCTGTGAAATATCATCTTGATCGACATCCTAATTAAAATCCTTGCTGCTTCGTACACATATTAAGCCAGATCTTCTCAATACCCGAAGGCTTGTTTTGTTCCCCATGATTCTTGTTGGATGCTGCCCCCTCCTTCTAGTCTAGATCTGTTCAGCCTCTCCAATAGGGTGATGTAAGCGTGCTTTCCCCATATCAGGTAGTACACCGTGGAAAGAAGCATCACAGCAATGAAAATAGGTGCCCCCCAGTTCATGGTGTTGAGTTCCACAGGAACAACAGCAGGAAAGAAGCTCCAGACAAACAATACCAGGAGAAATACCAAGGCCACAAGATTGATGGGTATACCATAGCGACCAAGTGTCCATTTCCGTGGTGGGAGCTCGTCTCTGCGGAGGCGCTTTGACAACACGCAGCCAATGCTTAGCATATATGATGCAAGGAGGCTGCCGGTGTTGAGTGTGAACAATGCGTTTAGCGCTGTGAGCGACCCGATATTGATAGAGATAACAGGCTCAGGATAGCGAGAGAGGTAAGAACAGCATTAGCAGGGACGCCCCATCTAAGAGACACCTATGAAGATCAGCTAGACATTTCTTTTCGGACTTAGAGTATTCAGCTTACTCGTGACAAATGTTCTGAACAAGGGACACCATAATCGCGGGCAAAGGACCATAATTGGCGCGAGGCGGTGGCGTTGCAGGCAAGGACAGCTGCAAGTATTGTGAGGATGATAATCATAACCATAATACTGGTTCCAGCCAGGCTCTGCGTCGTGTTGTAGAAGACCTGAATGAAAGGAAATCCTGTCCTCGTTAAGCGAATTTCGTCCATATCACCCCAGGTGTAACAAATCGTAATAATTACAACAAGACCTATTATTGAATTAATAAATTTAGACCACATAATAGACCTTGGTATTGTTGTTGCAGCGTTCTCAACCTCTTCGGCTACAAGTATATAATAGTTAGAAAGAACGTTATAATACGAGGCTGAATAAACGAGGAGTTTTACTTACACATATGTACAGTGCTGTCAAATCCAAGAACAGAAATCACCAGTGGAAGAAGTCCAACCATGAAAGACACTCCCTCCGTGGGCCAGCCACCATTATTAGTGAATTCCGTGAAGACTGCCTTGGTATTGTTTCGTGGAGCCAGAACCCAGAGAGGTATTATGATGGCGAACAAGCCCACAACGTGCAGCATCAACAATATGCCTTCCACAAAAGGCAGCTTCTTAGCAAGGCAAGTATTGAAGCCGACGACAAAACATCCAACCGCAATGACGATCAGTGTTCCGTGCCAAGGTTGTGGTTCGTAGGTAGAGACATTTAGCGTTATCAGACCTTGAATAATAGTTCCTACCATGAAAGAGCCGCCTGCGAGGCCGGTTTGCCATCCAAGAGTGCATAGCCACCCTGCATGGATGAGTTAGAACCAATAACAGCATACAATGCTCAAAACTTCACCAGTAAGGTAGCTTAGATATTTTTGGCAGCGTCTGGGTGAGAATTCAGAGACCCAGTGATACTGGCCGCAAGAGACTGGGGACCTGCGTGTATCCTGTTAGCGGGCATTGTGGCTCCTACCGCCTGAGAAAAGCAGAAGCTTACATGGAAGCCATTTCGGCCAGGCTTGCGTAAATAAACATGAACGCAACTGCCACAATGACAAAGCCCCAGAGCAGACCAGCAGTGCCCCCGTTGGTAAGGGAACTTGTGACCGCGGCGCTGCACATATCAGTTTTTTTAGAAATCCATAGGTTTGATTTCCAGATTAGGAGCGCAACGTACGCAAGGAGAATTTCCCAGGTGCAAATGAGCGTAGATCCAAAGCCCATCATTGATACGAAGCCGAAAATCCGCTACACAGCAGGCGACATCAGCAGACTATTGTGGTCATGAGCAGGGTGGGGCTGCTAAAATATCGTACATGTAACTCCTGTTTTCTGCCGTGTATTTGCATATCACGTCGGTCAGCGTCTGTTCCTCGATGCTTCTTGGGGACATTGGTATCGTATTCGTCCATTTCACAGGCTTCAAGTGTGGGATCAACCTGTGTTTTCGGCGTCTCGCTGAATCCGACATATGATTCCATTGTGGCAACAGTATTCGTAGTGAGCGAGAGATGCTGATAAAACCTGCCTGCACAGAGCAGGCTGGCAGACTGGCAGCTGGCCGGGAACCCTTTTTAAAAAGTAAGGTGAACAACCCACCATGTATGCCAAGTCTAAATGTGGTTGACTCCACTACTAAAGTAGTGTCAGTCTAATCTGACTTGAAAGTGGAGAAAACGGTCGTGCTGTCTCCACTCTTTCCAACACTACGTAGTATAGCATTGCGCTTATACTACCATGGTAAGGAGCCATAGATTATGCAAGCCTGGTGGTGTACTCGAGTGGCGGCTGGTTTCAGTACAACGCCTTTCTAGGAGCTCTGCCATCTTATGACCATACCAGCGCTGTGCTAACATTACTTCTGAGCTCCAGCCTGCTAACGTACTGGTTGTCAGACATCAAATGCGCTGGTTTACGGTCCCCAGGGCGCGGTCCTTTTGGTCCACCACTACTAACTAGTACTTGGTGCGGCCGACAAGTGCGCTCTAGCGTGGCAGACTTCTCTTTTAGGGTAAAATCTGCAAGGCTATCAATGATCAATCAAGATTACTCTAAACGAACAATCGACTTCTCATAATGATCGATCCATCTAAAAACTTGACAGTACATATTTTCTATCCTTGAGAACTCTTTTATACACTACTTGTTTCCTAGTTGTGGGTGTGTTATCATGCTTTGGTGGATACGCCAAGATATTAATCTTCCAAGACGCATAACGCACTTTCCGGCCGCACCTAGTAGTTAGGGAACGACTTGGTAGCCGGAGCTAGGTTCTAACTGTTTTCCCCAGTGGAAAACGTCACGCTAGTCATCATCCCATCTCTCCCCGGCGGCCCGGATTCCGTGGTTCCGAGGTGCCACATGGGCCATTGTTGGCTTACTACGGTAGGGGCAGAAGTATCATAAGCCTAGTGCTAGTAGGAGCTAGCTTCATTTACAGCGCCACAATCACAACATCTACTTTGTGGGAGCTTATCTCGTTTTTGACGATACAAATAGGCCAAATCAAAACCGCTATTGACTATTCCGTTTAGCGGTTTTGAAAGCAATCTGTATCAGGCCACGGATACTAGCACCGAACTATGAATACTTTTGCCCGATACTGTAGTAGGTACATCGTAGTATACATAACAGGGATAGTAGTCTCATTAATATCCTTTCTTGGTCTATTTGAGACTGCCAGTAAACAACAACCTCCACTTAGCCCCAATATTGATGGCGTGTGCCACACGCATACTCGCTTTAAGGTGTGGTCAACACTGACTGTGACGATAGCGGATGGGTGACCATCACCAGTGGAGTGGTGCTGTCCCATATGCTGATTTTCCTGGGGATCAGATAGTCCATTCGCATTTCAGTCAGCCATAGAATGATCTACTACTCTTGGGAAATGTGGCTTGAACATCAAAAGACGGAAGAGAGAAGGGTGTTGGCAACAAGAGAAAGAGCAAGAGAAAGTGGGGCAGACTAAAGCAAAGAGGCACGTGATTTAGCCAGTCAAATTGCTGGAGAAATGATCAGCTGAAATTGCTAGTGTCTCAGTTTTAGCGTCCTCACATCCAACCATCCAACGAAGAACACTTCACTTGCAGAATTAGATATAACTTAAGAACCCGTCCTTGTTAGAATTCTCTGAGTCGTCCTGCACGCTCGTCGTGATCAGATGTAGTTTGTACTGACGATGTAAATAGGTCTAATACACGATCCCAGAAGCCCTGATCGAATTTCTCATTCGCCCCCTCCAACCCCTTCTTCTGCAGTACCACAATCTCTCCACAAAACCCGCACCAGAAGCGACTCTGGTAGTCTCGGCCGATTCTCTGCTCACAAATTTCTTCCGGAAAGGCAGAATATTTTCTCCTCCTCCTCCTCCATCGTGACATAATTTGGATTAGACTCTGGTGGGAAGACTTGAATAATTGGCCGTGTAGGTAGATTCTCTGTCGCAGTTGTATGACTATAAGGGAGTGTTTTTGTTGTGTTGTTGTCGGGATCAGCCGGATTGACTGATGCCATGGGTATAGCATCTTCTTGAAAGTTTGTCTGCACTGACGACCATAGGGCTGCATTTTGCAATGTAGTGATCTGAATAGGCTCAGACGGGCTTTCACACAATCGTAAAAGTCTCTCTAGCTTTTTATTCGTCTCTTGTTGCATGTGGCCAATCTCACGTTGCATGTGGCCCATCTCACATTGCAAGTTGTCCAGTTTTGCTTCCAGTGTGAGCACGTTCCTATCTTGCTTATGTGGAGGAAATTCCCTGTACGTGCATGTCAACTGGTTGTCTTTGCAGTGACTGCACGGCCGTTCCTCGTCACACTTGGCTTTTCGGGTTCGACATTGATCACATGCTTGCTGAGCGCGGAGAGGCTTTTTGCGATGGGTTTGATAATATGGTTGGCATATTTGACTGGGATCGGGGCCAGCTGGTTGAGGATATGAAAATGATTCGTACTGGGATTGAAGAGATGACTGATGGTCTGATATAATTTGATTGGGCTCGTTCGCAAACCAGCCAGGTGGGCTAAAGCCGTAATTTGATTCAGAGCCTGAAGGTGGTGGAAGACTATGCGATCCAAAGCCGAATGGTTGCATTCTGAGGGGATAAGAGAATCATATACAGGCAGTCTCCACAGCTCCTTCAGGGTCGTAAATGGGAAAAGTCCAACTTTCTGATCGATGGTTAAAACACATATATTCCTAGTAATAAATCGGTAAAGGGAGTGTAACCTCAAGGGACAATAAGTAGAGGACAGTTGAACGATGTAAGATACGTGAGGAGAGCTTCGACAGAGTAGCAAAGCAAATACAGGAGCTCTTTTGGTTTTAGCCAGGGTGGTTTGGGTTTGGTTCAGGTCTACAGAGGTAATGGGACTGGAACAGTTGACCCACCGCCCTAGAAAAGCAGGACTAGTTGGGATCGGTAGGGGTGACCTTTTCGCGAATGGTCGATTGAAACAACCAGTTATTTTCAGGAGGAATATTGTCACCATTTTTGAGGGTCCCAAAGATTCAAGATTTGATTCGGAGGACATAAAGCTTGGGAAGGAATCTACCCGCAAAAGGTGTGAGTTAATCCGAAGCTTAAGTTTTGACGGGGTGATTTCATGGGCAATGGCTTTCCCGCCTGCTGTTTGGGCTGGAGGCTCAATGGCCTCGGATGTATTTGCCTGTCTCCTTGACAATATCGAGCCCGAAATGGTTCAGACATGGCCTCTGGTGATACGAGACGCATTGCACATGCTCATGGAAGATGAGGTATCTTTGAAAGAGTCCTCTGGATACAACAAGTTTACTAAAGGTTGGTTTCCTAGTATAGTACTGTGCCACCGCTAATGCTTCCTTGAGTTGTGACGTCCCGATTCTAATGCTAGCCCTCCCCACTCTTTATACGCGGAGGCGTTTCCGACAGCGTGCAGGGGCCTACCGCCACCCAATGAGCTTCTAAAGTTCATTTGTCATTCAGATGAACTTGGGAATTTCACTGGGCGGGTGACCATGCACGTACCTTCAAATTCCACAAGAAACAGAAAAGGCAGCCTCGTCATTTCTTTGCTAGCAACTTCAAAGCACCATGAAAGGCTCTCTTGTATCTCTGACGAGGGCTCTTACGGAGGCTCTGAGGGATGCCTCACCACAACAATTGGATTCCTCCCGTGGCCTACTTCGGAAACTTGAAGATACAATTCACAAGGCTATGTCGCAGGCTGAAGACGGGCTGGAACACCAAGAATCCGCTTCAGACCTTCCCCTAATGCCAGTGGACCGTCTCATCCTGTCAATTAAGAGAAACGCTCCGAAGATATCGGCTCTCTTGGATCAAAAGGTGGATCAGACTCTCCGTGACGGTAGTCGCCAGAGCGGTGAGGACCCTCGCATTGACGATGCATTACGGACAATGAATATCGACAACTCAGACAAGCTCCGATCATATCTCGCCTGCTGGACCCTGAAGAGTGGCCACGAGGAATTTTCCAGCGGCAAGAACCGAAGTGAAGCTTCTACGAGAAAGTATGCTGGAAGCGAGGGAATATTGGACGCGGAAAAACTCAGTACCGCTATCTGCAAGGGAGGAAAGATCAAGGCTGCCGCCACAGCATATGAAGAAGCCCTTGCTGCTTTCTACGAAGATCACAGTGTCGCCGCCATGATCGAGAGCGACGGAGCAGGTATGATTGTGCTCTTAGTCTTCGGCAATTGGGCACGGTTATCGGTGGAGGAAATGGCCTATTTCGGCAGGCTATGTGGGTCAGATGAGACCATCATCAAGCTCCTCAGCCTTATCAAACAAAAAAAATTTGTCCAAACGTGCTTAGCGCTATATCCACGACTCGTTGATGAACGGCGAGGTCCCAGGAAGCATGCAAGAGACACCTCTGTCACGAATAGCATACCCCCAAAATCCAAGAAGCAATATCAATCGACGCCAGCTCTGTTGAACGTTACCAATGCCGAATCCGTTCCTGCTGGACAGGAAAATTTAGATCCTCTGGTTCCTCCATACCGTTCGCAACCAGCAGACGATATAGATGCCTCGGGTGTTGAAACAGACTGGCCCAGGGGAAGGGAGAGAGATCAGTTTCAAGGCTTGAACGATCTGAGTTGGTTAGGAGTGCCGAATCTGCCTATAGACAGCCACCTGACCACCTATGCGTCTCTGCATTGGGACAGCAACCTGACAGAATTTGTGCCGGCGGACAACAATGAGACTCAGCTCCCCATACCGAGTAACCGGGCCACTCAGGTCCCGATAGCAGACAATGTGGATTACAGTGCGATTCAGCCGCAACCAGCAACCTTGGAGAATGAGCCCAATCAGTCCCAGGACGGGAATTGTGACAGGCTGGGATATACCTACGTCCAACACGATGAATTGGCTGCAAATACTCCTGCAAGATGTACCATCTCTGTATTCTAGTCTTGAGGTGCGAGGAGAAGACAATCAACTCGTGGTCGGACTGAGGCCGCTTGTTTCAGATATATGCTATGTCCAACTTGCAACGACTTTTCTGATATCTTCGGTGATCCAGAGGTTCGAAGGGTGATAATGTAGAGAGCACCGGTAGGATTTTTGAGTTCTGCGTTACCCCCTTGTGTGATTCGTCGTACACCCCAGGAACCCTGACACGGATTAGTAGATGGTAGCGAAGGATATGATACGATCTTTGCCTTAGTAAACTTGAGGAATTCAAGTAATGGTGCGACAGCCGTGTGTAGTCGATCGTCTTCACATATCTCAAAGGAAGATGTATGTGGGTCTGGCTGGAAACCTATGGCGTCGACCACTTGCATGAACGTGTGTTAATGAGCGCTTTAAATTCTGGCCCTAGGTCATGCTCCTCTAAGTGGCTTTTGGATGTGAGTAGACTGGTGGCCATGACGCACAGGCTCGGTTGCAAGTATGGTTTAAGTTCTTCTGCGGTTGTGGCTTTGAGAATGCGCAGTTCGATCTTGCATGTTGGTTTTAGGGTGGGGAGGGGCAGGTGCAGATTACCGAGAAATCATGTGCTCTCAGTTGATATATGTAGCAACTCTACATTTATCATGCTAGTCAAGATTTTCTAGGAGGTAACGAAGGCCTATGTAAAGAGAAAAGCTGCATGGCAGTAGAAAGCAGATTTGTTACGTAATAAAATCAAGGACCAACTGCCAGACTGCTTTAGAATAGGCGTTACAAAATCACTATATCCCAGTCGTCTTCATCAACAACACTTTCTTCAAGGACCTTTTCTGTCTTGTTGATTTTATGCAAGATGCCAGTATCGCATGATGTGTCGCACGAGTCGACTTTGAGAAGATGGTCATCTCGAACTCTCAAAACTGTCGTAGTCTGACTGAGCGGAGGGAGCCATAGGTGAAGCGGTAGAGGTGTGCTTCCCTTTAACGCCACTGCCATCCATCTCATTCTAGCTCTCAACCCTCTACCCACGTTGAAAATGCTCCTCAATATGATCGAATCTCTCATTCGCCCCCTCCAACCCCTTCTTCTGTAGTACCACAATCTCTCCACAAAACCCGCACTAGAACCTGCTCTTGCAGTTCCGACCGATCCTCCGCTGCTTAATTTCCAGGTCAACTGTAGCGTCATCAGCAAAGTGGATAGAGCGGAGATACGTTATAAAGACGGCTTTATAATAGAAAAGTTGTGTCTGCGCTTCTCCACTAACATCTTCACTCTCACACCTGGAAGCTCGGTTGCCGTAGTCACTTGTACTAGAAGGACAAAGAGCGCACTTCCAGCACTCTTGCTGAAAATGAGCTGAGTTCTCATGTTGTTTCCAGTCGAATTTATTCCCAAACTTCCCGAAGCATCCCATGAACGTGCAGCCGTAAAGCGTGTTTGCGGAGCTTTCTTGTTGGTCAGCGACATATTCAACCCCCTGTGCGCATACCCCCGTTTTGAGAAGGACCATATCGGAGAACCTTATGTTGCAGATGTAGCAGATGTACGAAAGTGAGAGGAAAGATCTGCTTTAGAAGAACGCACAGAATAGTGAGTAGGTAACTGTAAGAGGGAACGATTGGGATATCTAACCTGCATGATGAGAGACTCGTTTATGATCCTTGATGAGAGAGAAACTCTGCTGCAATAGACCACTAATGCAAGCCACGTTGTTAAAGGGAATTCACAATGGCCTGGCTCAGGTCAGGCTGTTCAGAGGAACGAATCAAGCCTAAACGCACGCTGCAGGACAAATGCAAAGCGGTTCTCTACCCAACTGCTTGTTTCAGATATAGCCTCCTCTGCCAGCTTGAGGCAGGTAATCTTTGACCTTATTAAATTTTCCTCACAGTGTCACATCTAGATCTCTGTGTCCTCAGAATCCAGCGGAGAGCAGTATTTCGCGCCATGTCTGCCCAATCTGTTGTTGGCGACAGCAGGACTGGCAGTGCACCTCGCATTGGTAGTGCATACATGTGCAATTGCTGTCCTAAGAAGCCAAAGAAGTTTGGAACTGAGGATGATCTCAGGTGTGTCTAATCCTTTCTTTCGCACAGCCTCCTTACCTCGCAGTTTGCCTACTAACCCATCTATTAATCTCAGGAAACACATGCTGGAGAAACCGAACGAGTGTGATTTCTGTCCCAATCGATTCAAGAACAAAAATGAAGCTGAGCGACATCAAAACTCTATTCACCTGCGTCCTTACTCTTGGTCCTGTGGAGCCATCTTGAGCTATGAGATTGCTTTCCATCCCTTGAATTCACTTACCCCTCTATCATACGATATCTGTGGCTATTGTGGCGAAGAGTTTACGAATTCCCCTCGTGATTGGGACGCCCGGTTTGTGCATCTGACTAACGTCCATAAATTCGGTGAATGCGACAAGACCAAAAAATTCTTTCGAGCAGATCATTTCCGCCAGCATCTCAAACACAGTCACGCCGGCACTAGAGGAAATTGGTGGGGCGTGTTGGAGAATGCTGGCAGGAAGGACGAGCCGCCTCAGAAGGTTCGTAATCGAGATTATGAGAATGCATAAATGGGACAGATCATGTGTTGAAAGGTTAGATATTTTGAGCGGCGTTTGCAGTCTCCGAGTTGAAGATATGCCCCTGAAATAACAGCCAAGACATAGACATGGATTACAGCCTTTGGAAGCTAGGATGATCAAGTCTCTGCCTCTTCAACTGAGATTGCGATGTTCCATTTGTTTGAAGTCTAAGCGGCTCCGTTGTTAACGCTTGCGTAGGTTGGAAAATCGTAATTCGGGCATACAGTAATCATCCAGAGGGGAGGCTAAGAGTAGATGGAGAGCAGCGCTTATATCTTACATTTGTTGCCAATGCTGATGGTGGCATGCGCTAGGAATTCTGCATAGACTAGTGTTGGGTGAACTTTCATGGCTACATCTCCCAATGAAAATGGCCAGCCTCAGACACTCTCAAATACCTTGAAGGAAGTCTGCACCAAATCTCACGCCATAAGTGATCTGAACGACCTGTCCTGCTCTATACTGCAGATAACCTCTGATCGCATCTTGCCAATGCCGACTTTCATTGCCCATTAGCAAACCAAATAGACTTCCATCTACAAAGAGGATATGGAAATCTTTAGCAGCGGCGGTGTGCTGCTCCTCCTCTATCATTGTCACCAAAGTCTGGACTTCGATAAAAAATGACTGATATCTTTCTAGACGAACCACAACAACATGCCAGCATGATCTCTTATCCTTTTCGGATACTTCCTGAGTTTGGGGTGCCAACACAGATTTAGCAAAGAACCTTTTACAAAAAGTGAAAGAGATGACAAGTTCTTGATATATGTCAAATTGAGTTTTGTGTGGGCTGAAAAAAAGATCTTTGGATGAATCACATATCAATAGAGGCATTCTGAGCTTTGAGAGGAAAGCTAGGACATCGTTACTGAAGCGAGATGTCTGTGAATGCAAGTTGCAGGGTGATGCTTGCGAAGCGAGTGTTGACTCGCTGTCATACGCAGCTTGACTTATGCTGCGCTCAGAGGATGGATTTGTGTTGGCATGACAAGGCTTGACCGCTGCCGTAGGATCTCGCGTCAGGGAGGTCATGGACATCCGGGTCTTGTTGGCCGACTTCGGTAATGTCGGATCGACCTGCTTGACCCTTTTGTACGGCAGAGAAATCTTCAATGGTGACCGGCTCCGAACTCTTTTTTGGACAGAGACGGGGCCGGAAGTCGCTATATTGTTGGGCTGGCTGTGGGCAATCTCAAGACTGATGCTCTTCGTTCGATTTTCTACCGGTCCATCCTCGTCTAGAGACACTTGAGTGTAGTCTTTCTCGAGCTTGATCTGTTGAGCACTGTCGTCGAGACAGAGATAGGGGTCTGTGTATCCCTTCAACACTAAGCCTTCTCCGCCTTGAGCGATGGTGGCAGCGAAAAGTTGACGGAGTCGGTCAGCTGCTCCAGAAGACCTGAAATCAATCTTTGTGCTGGTGCTGATATCAAATCGGCCTTGGATGCACTGTATCGTTGAGCGCAGCTGTTGACGTCGTCGGTCATGCGGCTCTCGTACGCAAATGTCGTTATCCAGCAGGAGCAGGTCGTACAGCATCACCATAAGGTGTTCGCTTTCCTGGACCGGTGAGTCTTGGGCGCACCCAAGACGATGACAGGCTCTTCGGACATGCTTACGAATCTTGCGGAAACGCTCGATTTGCTTGCTATCGTCGTTCCACACCAGAAGTTCGCCTTCCATGATACATGTACGCTGGAATTTGCACTGTGGAGTGCCGATGGCCAGACCTGCGACAATGGCTCCGTAGACACCGGCTCGGTCAGTTGTGGAGTCTCGACCGCTCTTGGAGAAGATCTGGATTTTGGGGCCGGATTTGATCAGACAGACATGGATTTGACAATACTCGCCATCGTATTTCTGTTCGACGCTCATGGTTCTTCCTCTAGCCAGCTGGCAGCAGTGTGCGATACTTCGGGCTTTGTGACGACTGGGCAGACCCACCATGATGCCGGGCCACGGCTTGAAGTGACAGGATGCTGACTTCTGTAGAATGACTTTGTCTCGTTCAGCAGGCTTGATCGGCATTTCCTTGATGGTGTCTGTTTCTAAGGCAGCCACACAAGCGTGGAAAGAATTCTGAAATTGAAGGAGATCAGGCAGTAGGAAGTGGAAGCGCCGTAAGTACAAGTCGTTCTAGCACAGAGATGGCGAAAATAAAACGACATTGAGTACGGAGGAAGTGGCAGAAAGTGGGAGGAGTGTGATATTGACTAGGAAAAGAAATCGACACGGCATCGAGGAGTAAAGTAGAGCAAGACAGGTACGGTGCAGGGGCCCATTCTTATGACTGGGCTGCAGCTGATGATGATTTCGTTGGGGCTGAATCATGCTGGGAGCCTACCTGACCTTATTCGAAATAGGAAATGGGACGACGAGATGGTGGTCATTCTGATTTGGGCATAATTTGTTGCGAGTATTCGAATACGACCCCCGTTAATCTCCGATCTCAGTAAGTCGAAGCAGCAGTAGCAAAGCGAAGTACAGCAGCAGCTGACCAGGTAACGCTCAATCCGTAGTTTACGTTTCAAGAATCGCAAGAACCTTCCGTCCTCCCACGAGGTTGCCGCCATATCAAGCATTTGGGGAAATACGGAGCAGTATACCCCTATGAATTACATTAAATATCGCCTGGGGTCAGGAAAGCTGGTGCTGAAGGCAAAACAAATGGAAAAAGACTATTTGTTGAACTCAAAAATACAGTTTGCGCTATTAACAGTCCCCCCTAGCGACAAAGTTACTCTAGATGACAACATTGACTTTGGAGTGCTTGCCCAGGGTGTCAAGATGAGAGATGTCATGTCTACCATTGATGGTCCGTACTGCTACATGTATGACTAGAAATATACGTGATTTGCATCAGCCACATATTGTATTTTTGGTATCTGCGTTTCGCGCTACTCCGCTTTGGATAGCAACTTTGTACGTATAGATGCACTCTCTGCGCACTCTTTTGAGAGAGAACAACTTGCTATTTACACACTATCCATTGATTAGTCAGCACTGTTCCATACTATTGTACAAAGCGCACACTGAGAAATCTAGAAACAATCTTCCCGTTCCAGATCTTTCCTCAAGGTACCCATATGAGGCCCAAAACAAATTCTCGTCTTATTTCAATCCTTGGGTGCCCGAGATTACTTCCTTCCGTGTTGCTATTAGCATTGATGATTATGGTTGAAAGGGGGAATGTCTGGCATTTGATTCACCATTGCTGACAGTGGGCGGGGCGGCATTTGAAAGTCGGTTGATCGATTCAGTAACTGTTGATAGATATTCTTCAAGCGAAAGGTGTGTTTCTTCAAGTGGTAGCATAATGCCCGGAAGAAAACTGCTTTGGAAACCGTCAACCAAATTGATAAACATCATTAGCCATCCGGTACAACTGCTCATTGTGAATTGAAAATCGTGCATCAGTATCGGGGGGTTCGCCTGCATAAAATCGCTGGAGTGACTGAGCATCTGATCCTTCAAGGTTTCACTGGTTTGTCGTAAGTGAGCAAGTATTGTTAGAGTTGCATCATTTGGAGCTGACTCCCCTAGCAGGCGCACATTCCGTACTAAGATCGTGGCATAGACTTCGAATGCCTTCAATACGCAGTGTTCTCTTCTCAGAATCTCCAACGGGTTGATCATGTCTCGTGACGATGTTGAAGCAGAGGATGATTGTTCAGTTGGCTTAGGCTGTGTCCGAAATGTTTCTAGAGCATCGCCGACGGCTTTATCTGCAGCCTCCAGATCTATGAGCAAATGCTCCAGTGCCGGCAATTCTTGCAAAGCGGTCTTTGTAGCCTCCTGAGCGTCTGATAATGATAGGTTCGTATATCGTTGCTCCTGAACTACTGGCTTGATTGGGCTAAAAGAGTCGCATTGATTCTGAGCTTCAATGTCATTCGGGACAGGCGGGGCAGGCGTTCTAATAAAGTCCTTCTGGGAGGGGGTCGAGGTGAAAGATTGTGATAAACTATTGAACGGCCTGGATTTGCTCGGGAGGGGTAGAGTGGCTACTGCTATCGCTAGAAGTAACGCTGGGATGAGATCACATCTGCGGAACCGACAGGTATGAAGAATCAATATCACAGTGGCGGAGACTGTGACGACTGTCGCAGAGAAAGCTTTATATAAGCAAAAGACCCAGGAATCATTGCTCAGCTTCCTATGTCTTCGGTCGAAGGCTCGAATGACACGTATATTGACGCAAAATATGATGATATGTTGGATGATAGTGAAGGCAAGGAAGAGAACTGTTGATATATCGATCGAATAATGATGTAACCTATCTGTAGTTTAGAGATGACGATTTTCGTTTCAGCAGAGGTCATACCGATTGACAAGTGTGATGAAACAAGAAACCAATTGCAGGGAGACCAGGATTGTCACCATCAAAGGTCCGTAGACAGGCCACATATGCAGAGATTGGGCTATGCCCCACGAATCAAGAACCTTACTATTGTCAGCAGAAGCAGCATGGGATAAAGCAATCCTACCTCGCAAAAAGTGCAGGAGATTAAGAACAACTTAGACAAGATGTCGAAGCCTAGAGGCTTTTCCAGAGTAAACATTGCTGTTGCACTCGCGAGACCCACCGCTCGAACGAATAATGAATAGGTGGGCCATGTGCTGGAAGCCGAGAGGACTCGGAAAACTGAGGAAGCACATTGAATTGCTGAAATGACAAGGACCGCGGAGAGAAGTTGCTTTGTTTCGGAGCACTCTGCTTGCATGATGGCGAGGTAGAAAAAGGCAAACAGTGGCAAGGCAACCAATAAATCACAAAGAAGAAATGCTTTGGAGAAGGATGTCTTCAAGAGTATCAGCCCCTGATTTCAAACACACGCCGTGCCATCTTGTTAGAATGCCTCATATGCCCATTTCGGGTTCGACCTTCGGAGCATCCCTACCTAGGTAAACGACAGTCCAAACGTCCATCCACGCTCGTCTCGCTATCCTGAGATGTGCCGCGTCAATGAACCCAAAAACCCGCTTAGGTTAATTATTTCACCTACGATTCCCCACTCGCCTTGGTCAGGTCATAGCGGGACATCTTCGAAAGTCCTGTTGATCCGAAAAGATTCAAAAAATGTCTGCCATTGTAATGTGACGCCGTTCACTGTTCCCGCTGTCACAATCTTGGCCATTGGAAGTCGTGTGGTTTTCTGCGGCTCTTCGAACTAAAGAGCTATCAGCCCACCATGAGCGAGGTGCCTAGATCCTTGAAAGGAAACAGTTGCCGCACCAACTTATCAGCGGCCTCAGTCAGGTATCGCTATCGTAGGATGGTAACAGTGCCTATGGAAATGGAGTGGGGTCGCCCTCGATAGTTGATCGACTTGGTGATCAGGACAGGGGCTGTCCAAAATTAAGATTTTGGGACACTGACGGAAGTACCCCCGAAAAGCCATCTAGGCGATACATGACCAATTAAAGCTCAAGAGCAAAAGCTCTTGAGCTTTATTAGTAACCATTCTGAGCCTGTTTTGAACATAATTCCTTTTCTGTCGTTTGCTTACTTCTCATTCCTTTTCTGTCGTTTGCGCACTTCTCATTTGGCAAAGAAAAATGAACATCCATAGAAAATGGATTGAACTACTGAACGAAATTGCCGAAGCACCCACCGAAGAACTACAGTCTTGTCCTTCAGAACTTCTCCGAGGAGTCCAGCACAAGCTCTGCGCCATTTCGACACCTGACGATGGTCAGGAAAACATTGCAGCTCTTGGAGCATATAAGCAGGCGGCGTGTACCTGCAACAAAGGAGCAGCACCAGGCTGTACGTGGCGATCTGGATTGAATTCCTCCACAGCCACTGAATCCACGGCCACTGAATCCACAGACACTAAACAACGCTTGCTTCAAACTGTATTGCAGAAATCCAAGGCAATATCGAAATTCCTGAAACTCGATCTAGAAAAGACCTTTCAACAAGGCGTTCAAGTGCAAGGAGTTGATCCTCGGATTCAAGACATCGCCAAACTTGGAGAGAAAACAAAGTTTGACAAAATTCGATGGGTATTCGGTTGTTGGACTTTGTTCCTGGACAATAGGGAATGGATACGCAGCAAGACACCTCATGAAAGCTCCGTCAAGAAATTTACCGAGTCTTTAGGATCTACAGCGACAGGTGTTGTTACTTATGGCCTTAAAATGGGAGCCAAGGTCGATCTCTACATTAAAGCATTCAAGGGTGTTGCAATCATGCCACTCTTACCCTTCATTCCATGGCGGCGATTAGACCACCGGGAGGTGTCTGCTTTTGCCAAACTATGTTATGATGACAAAACCATCAAGGAATTTCTGGAGACCGGGGCTCAAGTCTATTCAGCAAGCGAAAACATATTCCGCATGTCTATTCAGAAGCGAAATCTCAGTGTACAACAATTGGTTCCCGCGAAACGTATTAGTCAGGATGTTTGCGAAAATCGCCATCGGAAGTCTCAAAAGGCGTCCACAGCTTCTGCAGCTCTACAATTCTATTCTTCACCATCAGATTTCTCGAGCGGAAGCAACGGCAACCTTAATACGTGCGCCAGTACTTCTATTTATGCGCGGAACGTGGAGACTTCAACATTATCACAACACGATGAATATCTGAGCAACCCATCGGCACCTATTGACGGCTACCTCAACTCTTATCCGGGACACATCGATAGCTCCCTCAACCCTTACCCGGGGCTCATCGATGGCTCCCTCAACCCTTACCCGGGGCTCATTGATGGCTCCCTCAACCCTTACTCGGGGCCTATCGACAGCTCCCTCAACTCTTACCCGGGGCCTATCGATGGTTCTCAGTTGGAAACTCCTGAACAAAGTTTAGGGGATGTGGACGGGTCTCGCGCTTTGTATTTGGTTGCTCAATCAAGGGGTATAGACACTTCTCCTATTCTGTATCCGAGTGGAGCCTTCAACGATTCTCTCTCCTCGATGGTACATGCCCAAAATATCCCCATCAACAATCCAGCTTAGTTATGAGGTACAAGAAGAAGACAGTCCACTTGTGGTCGCACCATAAAAAATGGGCCTTGAAGGTATAAACTGTGCCCAACTCGTGGCGATAATCCGGAGATTTGTGGTGCACCCGTAATTCGAAGAGCAATGATGTAGAGTGCACCAGTAGGGTTCTTTATCTCGGCCTGGCCTGCTTTTATGACGCGCCGAATGCCCCAGGATCCCTGTTGAACCATTAGACCGTGTCTCTCAGATACAAAGGCTGCATGAGCCACTTGCCTTGAATCTCAGATGGTCAAGGAGTGGCTGCAAAGCTGGAAGAAGCCGCTCATCATCACATATCTCGTATAATGGGGATTCTGGATCTGGTCGAAAGCCTATGCTATCAACCTTCGGCATAAATGTATCGATAAGCGCTATGAAATCTGCACCCAGATCACACTGATCCAGATGTCGTTTGGACGCAAATGGACTAACAGCCATAACACGTAGCGCAGGGTTTTGCAGTGTAGAGCAAATATCCGTTAGGATGTTGCGGCGGATGTGGCTGTTGAAGATTCGCAGTCAGGATTTCTCTCTTGGTGTTAGGGTGGGTCCGGGTGGTCCGGGTGGGTTCACATCTAATATCTCAAAAGTGTGACCCGCAACATCATAAATTACGCTACACTTCATGGGTTCTTCTAACCGATGGCAAATGGTCGCAGTCGTCCAGTTATCATCCACATAATCCAATGTCTCAATTCGCCATAATCATGTTTCCAGCGGCAACTTGTTTAGCGAACTCGGCTGCTGAAGAGACACCTATTCACGATGACGAACCCCGGAAAGAGTTCCACCCATGGTGTAATGAAACTATTGATCTGATGAACTACGCACGAAGACTTCAGCAGTTCATTGAAAAGCATTCCCTTCTGGGACTTTCATTTGCTACGGAATCTCGCAATTATAAAACTCAAGACGCCGCCTCGGCGGAAGTGTGATTGCGATGGCATACCCTGCATAAATCTCGTAACCCACCAAACTGTTCAATTTGCTAGCGAAGCATTTCACCTATTGGCTCTATCACGCACCTCAATTGTGTCTTGTTGGAGTCGTTCTGGGCCTTCTTGGTTGCTGCTGTGCCTTTATCGAGTGAAATGGCCAGTACCGCGGCTTTTTCATCATTAATCCTGTCGCGACGTCATGTCAGCCAATACGAGGTCTCTGATGACCGACATGTCAGAGGAGACGCCACGACGCGGGATCCCCCCACGATGTTGCCGGTGCCTCAGACAAGGGGGGTGTTGATCGAGGAGTCCATGGATGTGGGTGGAGACGCCATCACATGGACCGCCTCAACAGCACACGGTTGGATCGACCGGCCGGGGAAGCAACGAATGAGCTGCGCGACCTTACCACGGCCATGCCATGGTTTCAGATAGGCAGTATCGCCTCTTGTAACCGTACATGGCGCGGCGACCGGCTGCGGCACAACGTTCAAGATGGTTCGGGGGTCCTTCCTGGTTGGCTTCGTCGGAATGTCAGATGGTAAGGTGATCTTGGGGACAGATAGTCTGCGCCGCTCGTGTTGGCTGTTAGCGAGAAGTGGGCGGTGATAAGGGTGGCGATGAACCTCGTCAGAACAAGCAGAATCACGTTTCCTGTCGATTATTATACCTGCCCTCAAGCTTCTCCTGCCGAGCATAAGTAATCAGCGAGTCCCATCAAGGCATTCTCTACCAACAGTCTTTGCTACTTAGATGTATACCATCCAAACCCTTAACACGAGCTTCGACGACTAGACCTCATTAAGCGCCAACAAGAGATGGCTTCTCAACCCATTTACAACCTGAGTTTCCACGGATGTGCTCCACATATCCTTAACTATCACAAGCCTGGAGAACCCGAGTCGAGTCACTTTCCTCTTCTTGGACCGCGGCCGGATCACGAATTTGAACCGCTACCCCCCCAGCGTTGGGCTGTTTACCTGGACGGAGACCTTGCTTCCGGGCTTCCTGGCCCGTACCAGATGATTCGGAGGGTGCAAGTTGACCGAGAACCAAGCAAATACTACATCTGTGATGACGATCTCAGCAAAATCTTTTGGGCGAAGCATCCTCGTTTCCCCTTAACGATCCATCAGCTGGCGTCTGGTCTTCAAAAGCTATTATTGTCACGCATTTCGGATCAAGAGGAAACCCTTGCCGCCAACCTACAGAGGGCCCAAGATGACACCAGGAAGTATCTTTTTGAAACGACCCGAAGTTTTGCCGGCAAGGAGGAGGAAATCAAATCGGCCTGGAAAAGTCGCACCGGGTCCAGTCGGCAGTTCTTCAGCGTGGTCCTATCTTACCTGCAATACAATCCAGCTACCGTCTGGATCGATGAAACAGGATCCATTTCTCCTCAAGGTCGGAAATATAAATCTCTTTATCATATCTTCACCGTTGAGGAGAATGGTATTGATTTCGACTTCAGCGCATCTCAAGCCAAACGGACTCGTCGCTTCGTCAAATGGGAGGATATGGACTTTCTTTCTAAGCTGGGGATTCACTTTGATGCCGAACGGTGCGGGAAGTACTGGCCACATCGAAGCTTGTCTTTCCGAAATGGTGATCTCAGCTTCTGCGAAAGTATCCCCATCACACGAGCAAACAAACCCCGCAAATGCAGATAAGGCAGAGGGTTCGTCGACGATAGAGGATGTGGAGAGCAGCTTTACAGTTGTAGACGGGTGATTGAAGGAGCACAGTTGATTGCTGATACGGGTATTCCGTTTCTCCGGGAACCAGTTTGAGGAGCTCACTACGTTCTTTGAGACTGTTCTTGACCGAGAGCCTCCTCTTGTCAACAACACGGAAATATCAGACATTCTATCTAGTGTTCCAGTCCTATACAGGTTCTGAATTGAAGATAAAGGTGAAGGAGGCCCGTGTATCGATTGATTTTGTTGTCTATCTCTCTATCCTGTGCTCTCGGAAGCACAACTAGCCTATTGGTCATGGTTGACAGCCTTTTTGTCTGCTCTCTCCATGGCTTTCAGAATCTTCTTTCCTTCCTGGATATCTTCTCCCGTCATCTTCAAGCCATACGACGCTTGGAAATTGGAACGACTACCCCAACCAGTTCTGACAATTTTGTTGCTATTGAAGCTATGAGAACGATGGCATCTTCAAGTGAATAGGCAAATAATTACTGCGAGAAAGCTTTCTTATTCGTATGATTAGCCTTATATTTGTTAGCATATTCGACTTGAGTCGCAGAGGATCGGGTTGTACTTGTTCATCTGTGGTCGGCATCCTGAAGATGTCTTGAATCTGGCTTTGATGACTGACGTGCAAGGCGCGTTATTCCGCTGATGAAATTGAAGACAGATAGAATCGAAAGTTAGACGTCGGTCGACCAATGTGCTGCTTCAGAAGATTAGCCGATGCATGGTGGGGGGCATCAGGCAACGATCTTTCACGTGACTGCCTGCGACCCTGGCGAATTTGTAAACAACTGAGACTCCAATCTGTGCTACTCTGTTGACAGGTCGATTTTGAATTGGCCGCACCGGTATCAGACTGACTGGAGGCGACGAGTCTACAACACGACCGCAGAAACTCAGCTCCGAACCAGACTTCTAGCAGGAATCAGAATACGGGCGCAAGTGGTTTCTCAGTCCAAAAAACACCACCAGCGCTGTCCAGTGGCGGAGGATCAAAAATGAGCCCATCAGGTAATGAGCTACGGCAGCACGCAGTGCAGATTGGACCAGACAACGAATTATATCTTGTGCTTGGTGTGAAGGGAAAGGTGACTGTCGACTGCTCCGGTTCCTTACGCATCACCACCTCCCGATCTTCTGCAAAACCTCCAGGCAGTATATCGCAACAGCGTCATGAATTCGGATCTTATCATCCCTAGCCCTTCTAGCTCCGCGAAATCCGTCTCAGACACCTCAGTCCCATTCACCCAGGCATCACCCAGCCGCCGGAGCATCAGCCCTTCAGCCTCTTCCCCCCGAGCTCTGAGAACCGGGTCCATTTTGAAGTCACCCAGATGATAATACGCGCAAAGTTGGTGTCGACCAGCACCCTGCCATACCGCTGCGAGTCTCCCGATCCCCACGTTGTCTATGCTATCTAGCGTGGGCACCTCGATATCGCCAGTGGATCTCAAGGGGATGAGGACTCCTTCAAACGGAACCTCCCGAAGAGCCTCGGGCGTAGCGACCCCGGTTTTGAGACGACAGACCACTTGTTTGCTGTGAAAACGTTATCAAAGAGTTCGAGATCGCTTCGAAACCCGCACAGGACCCACTGACATCGGCCATGAGCTCGTGTTAAGGACCTTGAACGCCGTCACCCAGTCAGGGTGTGCCTGGTGTCTCTTGTCATCATTCATCTCGACCGTGACCCCACTCGCGCTGTCAACGTCGATGTCAGCCAGACTCTCTGTCCGCTAGAAGCGACCTGGGACGGAACCGCATCCAAATTGACCGAGAACTCCATCATCCCGGGCTCCCCAACCGCCTCATGGGTGTCAAGTTGAACACACCAAAAAGCACTACGAATGCTCGGTTATCGAGACCTTTGATCAGTAGGCAAGACATCTGACTCACACGTGATCCCACACCACACCTCTGACCCTCACCTCACAGTACTCTCTTCTATCATACGGAAGACGGTTCTCCTCGACCTCATGTCGGTCGCCCGCGGCGGAAGTGTAGGCAAACGCGGATGGCACTCTACTGACCACAAACCAGTAAAGTTGTTTCGATGTCATCTGTTCAGGCGCCATCCAATCGATGACCCTGGAAGACATGATGAGGGATGATGATAGTAAGGTGACTGACTGACCAAGGCGCGTAGTGGACGTAAAGTGATGTCGTGATCAGATGAATCAACGTTGACGACAATGGTAAGCTGAAGAGTGACCCGAACGGATACTGTCTGCAGACGATGGTGGAGAGATAATGGAGTGATTGATCGATAAGACTTGTATAATAGTAAGCGTTGTCACAGACGATCTGCTCAACTACGTAAGCAAAAACGAGAGTGAAGTAAAATAACAAGACGTTAGAAGAACGGTTATCAAAGGACAAAGCAAGCTTAACGTATTCTTTGACCTCTAGGTATATAACGCAAGTATCCAGAATCTGTTTAGAGCCGGGCCGAACAATCAACGTGCAAAAAGAGTGTAGATAATACGTGTTCTGTCATCTTGTCCAAATAAATCTCCCCTGATGGCTGAGCGGTTTAAGGCGACCTCACAGACGGGATTATGGTGTAAAGGGTAACATTCTTCCAGATAAGTGAGATATAACATCTTACTTTGGAAGAGTTCCAAGTTCGATTCTTGGTAGTCCTCTTGTGGGATTAGGTGATTTGTCACTGTTATAAACCGTGACTCTTCACCTAGTCCCACCTTCTTTTTTTCATCTTCTTTGTCTTTTTTTCTTGACTCGCTAACTCGAAACCTTTCAGATCGCAGTACAGAGTCGTCGTTTATGGAGCTTATGGAGAGAAAGACGTTTTAAAGGGCCGATATCATACTGGTTTCAGAACACATAAAGTCGGGCATGACAGAGGAAGACCTCGATATAGTTTTCGGATGGCTCATGGTTTCTTCGAGCCTGGAAAGCGGGTGTGGAGATGGCATATGCATTGCTCTTGAAACTGTCCCACAACGTCCATTTTTTCGACCGCACGGCGATAGCAACTGGGCCCGCAGCTTCAAGTGATTCATAGCCATAATCTCTTACTTCTTCGTCCGCACATTTCAACAGCACTCTTTTCTTCTCTTTCTTTTTAACCTTCTTTGAAATCGAGAAGGTTCCCAAGTCGTCGTCAACACTAGTAGCAGGAGCAGACACTTCTTCAACATCAGCCTCGACCGGATCTGGGAGAACCTCATTCAGAGTAGAATGGGTGGTCGCGAATGTAGAAGTGTTAAGCAGAATTTTAGGATCCGCAGTTGTATAGTCCCCCGTATATGCGTATTAACTGAATCGAACAAAAGTATGTTCGTCAACCTCTCCTAACAAAGCACATCCCTCCTTTGCTTCTGACATGTTTCCGTTAACGAGGACACCGAGGGGTTTCGAATGATGAGCTACAATTGCTGAATGGACGGTGAAAAGCTTTCTATCAGGCCTAACAAGGAATTTAAATGGAGTAGAGGAGAGAACACTGCATTGTTCGTACCAGTGTAGAAGACTGGGAGCTGATTCGCCGCAGCAGGAAGAAAAAGCGCCGTGATTCTCCGCAAGCTTCGAAACAATAGGTGTGGTTGATGTTAGAACGATGAGCTTTTCTAAAACTTTGTTTCAAGACTGAAGTCTGCCTCACTGTACTTGCCCCATCTTTATTCTCCACAATCCGCAAGGTCTCCAGCGAATCCAAGTGGTCCAAGTGTGGGCTGAAAGAAGCGAAGAGCCTGGCAAGGGGTGCATGCTTTCTTGGAGGGCCAATCCTTCTCAGGAAACCCCCTTTTCGGGTAAGCAAGGTAGGCTGTATGAGCGACCGGCTGCCTTGTTTCCTTAACAGCCAGCGTCTCATCGAGATTCTGCCTTGACCCATCAGCAACCGCACGAGAGGTTAATGCCGCAGCAACAGCACCCCATGTAGCAATGCCTCATTGAAGGTAGCATACCTTGCATGACTGGCCCACTGAGGCATCAACTCTCAGCCGGAGACCAGTCAGAGCCGGCAGAGAGTCAAGAGCATTGTTCCTCCCAGGATCCTTGACTGTCCTGGGCAAGAAACCTAGCTGTATCTCCAAGCCCTTCCACTTTCGAAGCGGAGAGTGTCTTAATTTGCGGACGGATTTTGGGGAGCTAGAATCTCTTCGATTGCAAGAGGAAGGAAGGAAGGAAGGGCCCAGGGATCGAGGCGCCAGGATAGGCGTGCCAGCAGTAGTCAGTAGTGGACTGCGCACCGATGACTCAGAATAGATAAGCAAGACCAGGCAGGTCCACGGCGCTGCAGGAGCCTCAGGAGGGCTCAGTAACCGCGGAAGACGCAGGAACCGCAAACTGCGCGAAATCATGATGCAAAGTAAAATCTTATTGTTTTTGTGTTATTTGCAGTTGAATTGAGCACTTTCAATGTCATGTTTTATTGGACCAATCGGAGGCGCATTAAGATATTACGTAAGGTTGGGGGGCCTGTGGCTGTGGTTATCGAAATGAGACTGGGACTTGCTAACAAGCAGGCTTGCCTGCTGCTCTTACGTCTTTATTGGCCAATATTCGGAGCAGACATGCACAACCCAGCTGCTGTAGGTTTGTATACACATCTCACAGCTCGACTTACCCTTTATGCTTCGTGCCGCCTCTTTAACGGATACTACCATCATCGAGTCATCGAGTCACCGACGGCAGCCGGCATGCACCCATCACCTGTCGAAGCGTATCAAGTGGGAGTGATGTGCGCCCTACCCAAAGAGATGACGGCGGCAAGAGCGATGTTGGATGAAGAGCATGAGCCGCTGAAGATAAGAGATGCGCAAGACATTAATAGCTATGTGCTGGGTCGAGTCCATGAACACAACGTGGTGATTGCGTGTCTGCCCACAGGGGTGTATGGCACCAACGCTGCGGCCACGGTTGCCAGCAATATGTTGAGGACGTTTCCTGAAATCCGCTTTGGCTTGATGGTGGGCATCGGAGGTGGCATCCCAAATCTCGCGAAAGAGATCGACATCCGCCTAGGCGACGTGGTAGTCAGCCAGCCGGATGGGACTTATGGCGGCGTGGTCCAATACGACCTGGGCAAGAACCTAGGGAAAGAAAAGTTCGAACGGAAGGGATCTCTCGACAAACCCCCGACCGTCCTTTTGACAGCCCTCGCATCCATTCAGTCCAGGCCTGACACCTGTCGCCGTCGGGTATCAGAAAATGTATCTGCAATGATCCAAAAGCCTGATCTGGCGAACGAGAATTACATCTTTCCAGGAGTCGATCAAGACTATTTATACTGCACTTGGTGCGATCGGTCTCAATGGCCATTATTGATGATATGGTTGGTGCTATTCTCGCTAAGCCCATTGTGGTTGTGTAATGTGTGCGACAATGGCAAGATCCCGAGATCTCCGGGCCGGAGAGACCCTCAAATTCAGTACGGAATCATTGCATCTGGGAATTTGTTGATCAAAAACGCTGCGGAAAGGGATCGATTGGGTAATGAGTTTGGTGCTAAGTGCGTCGAAATGGAGGCGGCGGGACTGATGAACACATTTCCGTGTCTCGTTATCCGAGGCATCTGTGATTACGCCGATTCTCACAAGAACGATATATGGCAAAAGTACGCTGCTGTCACCGCGGCAGCGTTTGCAAAAGAACTATTGTCGACTGTCAGTCCTACGGCGGTGCATGCCACACGACATGCTACGGACGCCATGAGTAAGTCCCACTCGACATCTTCACGTTGAACACGAAATAGTACGTGGTCTAAACGAAACCATTGTTTCGCATCAGAGATGATGAGTTTTCGTGTCTCTACGCATTCCTACTTTGTTTGTGCTAAAAAAACGAGCATGTTACGATCGATTTGACTCAGCAGGCCCTTCAGGGGCTTGAGGCCAAAGAGGTTACGTTGACGGGTGGACGTCGCGTTCCATGATGTGAAAGGGGAGTGTTGACCGCTGCTGACCACAGATATAGATCATCGAACACACGAACTCCTTAACGAAGGCATCCAGCTTCAGAAACAAGCCATCGAGGTACAACGCGAGCACTTTCAAACCCATAAATCCGAAGTACTGCATCAAACCGAGCGTGAACGATATTGCCACCAGGCTTTTAAAACAAGCACTTATGAACGGTACAAAAACATCAATCCAGAGAGAGTCTCGGGCACATGCCGATGGTTACTCAATCATAGTCAGTTTCGAGAATGGCAACAAAGAAGCCATCATGATCTCCTGTGGATCTCGGCCGACCCGGGATGTGGCAAATCCGTCCTCGCCAAGTCTCTGGTCGATCATGAATTTGGCGATGCAGATCAGCATAGTGTCTGCTACTTTTTCTTCAAAGACAATGAACGCCAGGACAACCTTAACACTGCTTTATGCGCCGTTCTCCACCAACTTTTTGATCACCAACCGTCACTACTGCGTCATGCGCTGCCCGCATGGGATAAGATCCAGGACGGGATACAGCAAGAAAGTGAGGAAATGTGGCGAATTCTCCTCGCCGCGGCAGCCGACTCGTCAGCTGGACACATCGTATGCGTCCTGGATGCATTAGACGAATGTCGGGACGAGGACCGACGACAGCTCATCGGTAAACTCTGTGATTTTTACCAACGGTCAACGCCCACGCTGTCGGGGGCTCGGCTGAAATTCTTGGTAACGAGCCGACCGTATGACAGCGTGCAGCGCTGGTTTGAGGAGACTACGTCACGTCTGCCACAGATCCGGCTGCGAGGAGAGGACAAGAACGACCAGATCCACGAGGAGATCAATCTGGTGATGGATCTACAGATAGACAGCCTTGCAGCTGAGTTTAAGCTTTCCGAAAATCACCAAGAGAGGCTACGCCAAAGCCTACGACAGATGGAACATCGCACCTACCTCTGGCTCTATCTGGCCATGGAAGACATACGGACCATGTACCGGGACAGCCCTGATCCCGAAGAGGAGCCCACTAACACTCTCCCTACATCAGTAGAGAGTGCATATGAACGCATATTGCAAAGAATTACCGAAAAACAGAAGTCCCAGGCGCGAAAGATCTTGCTCATCATCGTTGGCGCGCGACGCCCATTAACCATTAGCGAGATGAGCCTGGCGTTGAATGCGGCCAGCGCGCACGAACTGGGTCAATCGTATATGAAGGAGCCGAACGTGCAGCATCTGGAGAGACATGTCCGAGAATGGTGTGGCCTATTCGTCTTTATCAACCATTCCCAGCTCTTTCTCATCCACCAAACTGCTAAGGAGTTCCTTGTCGCACAGGGCTCCAATTTCAGTTCTGTATCAGGCTGTTGGAAGTCAACATTTTCCCAGACGGAGATTGAAGGTGAAATGGCGAGACTGTGTGTGACGTACTTATTTCTCCGTCAACAAGAGGGCAGACCTAGGGACGAAGACTGGCAGGGTTACCAGCGCGCCAACACCAGAGTCCCAGTCATCCAGTCATCGACTTGGGAAGAGCAGAACAAGTTCTTCGAATATTGTGCTGAGCATTGGACATCGCATCTAAGAGAGGATGTTGTTACCAAAGACAGGAAAGTACTTGATCAAGTCCTACTATTATACGCAACACACGGATCGATTCCATGCATGGTTTCCCATTATGTGGAAGGCACTTTACCCATATCAACGGACAGCGGAAGTACAGATTCAACATGTGGTTTCCATGAGTGATCACGCGTTCGTCCTTAATGAAATCTTTCACAGGGCTAAATTCGAGCTGGAGGCACGGGATAGCACTGGTAGAACAGCATTACATTGGGCGGCTGAAAGAGGTCACGAGAAGGTGGTGGAGATGCTGCTGGCCAAGAACGCGGATGTGAATGCTCAAGCTGGCTAAGAACGCAGACGTGAATACTCAAGGTGGAGCTTATGGCAATGCACTACAGGCGGCATCATGGCGAGGTGATGAGAAGGTGGTGGAGATGTTGCTGGCCAAGGGCTCAGAGATGAATGCTCAAGGTGGATACTATGATAATGCACTATATGCAGCATCATCAGAAGGTCACGAGAAGGTGGTGGAGATGTTGCTGGCCAATAACGTGGACGTGAATGCTGAAGGTGGAGCTTATGGCAATGCACTACACGTGACATCGTCAAAAGGTCACGAGAAGGTGGTGGAGATGTTGCTTCCCAAGGGCGCAGACGTGAATGCTCAAGATGAGGGCGCGGACGTGAATGCTCAAGATGGATACTATGGCAATATACTACACACGGCATCATGGCAAGGTAACGAGAAGGTGGTGGAGATGTTGCTAGCCAAGGGCGCGGACGTGAATGCTCAAGGTGGGGAGTATGGCAATGCACTACATGCTGCATCATCAGAAGGTCACACGAGAAGGTGGTGGAGATGTTGCTGGCCAAAGGCGCTGACGTGAATGCTCAAGGTGGGAAATATGGCAATGCACTACAAGCGGCATCATCAGAAGGTCACGAGAAGGTGG